AAATGTATTTTTCAATTAGTGAGATCCAATGCTCCATTCCTAGGAGACTCTTCGTGTGACGGCTTCTTTTTAAGACCTTTTTTCTTCAGTTGTCTCTTTTCGACTGATTAATTTACGTGTATATTTGATCGTGATTTACGATTTCTGTAACACAAATTTTGCTATTTACATATTATATAAGTTAACTATTTATTGGAAATCTAAAGTTAAAGGGCTGTTCTTTCATTAGTTAATGGTAAAAGGTGAAGAGTATTGTAATTTTGTAAATATTGTCGATTTTATGAGCCATACAAGATAAGTAGAATATTGATGGTTTTGGAGGTCGATTTCAAGGTAAAAGATAAATTGTAAACTTGCCGCAAGTAGCAAAAAAAATGTAAACTTTTTGTTATCTATTTATAACATTTGTTGCGGCTGGTTTATAACTAATAAAGTGACTTTACTGTAAATAGCAACAATTATTTGGATCAGCGCCATCTAGCGGTTTTTATTTTTTGGCCAAAAGTGGCTCCCAAAATTCTGAATCAGAGCAATCAGGATTAGAGCCATTTAGTCAATTATAAACCAGCCGCAACTCATGACAAAGCTATAAAATAAAAAAATAATAATACATGTGTTTTTGGCGGCAAGTTAACAATCTATCTTATGCTTAAAAATTTATCTTCAAAAGTACAAACACATAGGAGATCAATTTTTTAGTAGAAAATATATTGTTAACTTGCCGCCAAAAACACATGTATCGTTATTTTTTTATTCTATAGCTATTAAATGAGTTGCGGCTGGTTTATACTTGACTAAATGGCTCTACGCGCTAATGCTCTGGTTCAAAAGTTTAGGGCCACTTTTTAGTTCAGAAAATTCGCAACGCTAGATGGCGCTGATCCAAATAATTATTACTTTTCTTATATTAGAGACATTTAATCAATTATAAACCAGCCGCAACTAATATTATAGATAGCTAGTTAAAAGTTGACGAGGTCTGTGCTGTTTACAATTTATTTTACACCCAAAAGCCGACCTCCAAAAATATAGATATTCATATGGTTTAATAAAATCTACCATTTGTCATTACTTAGTAGTAATTACTTTAATTACTACACATAACTTATATCTTACACCGTGCTCTCTTTACCAGAATGATAAAATCAGAGGCTGTAAAGTTACGCATGCAGAGCTCTCAAAAGTGGCTCCAAACCACCGGGAAATTCAAAAATGTTCTTTAATCCAATAACCCGGAGCCTTTTATCACACAACCAAATGTAATAAATCACAAAGCATTTTTACCCTAAAATCCAGTATTAATGGAGTTTATACCGCCAGTGAAAGTCATACATGCATTTCCCCTATGGATTAATGACTCTTTTCTTATCTGCACCAATATTTCGCTGTTGTGCGAACAATATGCAGTTTAAGTACACTAAGTATACTTTCTTGTTCTTTCAAATAATTTTAAGTATTTTGCTGTACTGCTCTCCTACTTCCTGTAAAAGTGCCTTCATCCTCCGCAATAAGTAGGTAGGTAACTAGGTATTGCAATAAAAGTTTCCTCCGCACCCCGGGGCCGGGGCAGAGCCTCACATACACACGTATAATATATGTACCATTTAACACCGAGTCATTCGCTCCATTCGTTGCGTGTATGAGCTGTTCTGTTACTTGCAAGTTGCAAGTGAGTCAAAGGGAATCAGGGAATTACAACTACCTCAACTAGAGTATCTCTACCCTCTACCATGTACCATTATCAGTAGAGTAGAGAGCCAGTAGAGCGACAGAGGCTGGCCGTGAGTGTGTCCGCCGTCCAGGATCTCGTATTCTCGTCCTCTGATCCTCTCTCGCGCGCTCAACCAAGTTACACATATAATAATATAGTGGAACACTGTTCAGTGCGGGGGCATATTCCAGAACGGCTTGGTTCGCGTATGCACGCCTCTGCAAGTATCAAGTATCCCTTTTGAGTCTAACAGTACTGTAACAGTCAACAAAAAAACACCATGCAAGCAATCAAGTGCGTCGTCGTTGGCGACGGGTGAGTTTTGTGATTCGCAATATCTTTTATATGTATGTAGGTACATTATTAATAAGCAATCATATAATCCGGCTGGCTGGGCTCATCGTTTTCTCTTCACGCCTATGTACAAATTGGACCCTTCCTTTTCTCTCTTGTCTGTATGATTGTCCATTTTTTTTCGAGCTCCACGAGTGCTGTTTTAACAGCGCGGGCGTCGAGCTCCGCAGGAGGTGGCGGAGATCGGAAGGAGGACAAATGATACATCACGCTTAACTCGGCTTCTGGAAGAATGTGTATACGTGCACACACCAAGGGGACGTGTATATATTTATAACTGATTTATACAGTTTACGTCGTGTGAGGCGCGTGCATGGGGGAGCAAGCGAGATGGAAAGAGCGTGGTTTCATTTGTCGATTACTTATTCGTATATGTTCTCTCTGATGATGGCCTCTCCTCTTGCTCTCCGTTGATAACATACTTATACACCAACGAACGTAAGATGCGCCCCCAGGAGTTTGCTATTATTAGGGACCTCTAAGTAATGGATACTGGAGTTGATGAAAAGAGTTTCCTTGAAGACTTGCTCTTTGAGTTAGAGAAAGCTCGATGAGTTTTAATGAGGAGCGAACACCCGAGGGGCGACTCATGGGCGTGGTGAATAACGCGTTTACATTGTACCTATACCCAGTTACTGTTTGACGCTTGCTTGACACTTTCGTTAATCATGTCATATAAATTTTATTGGTTTCGTAGTACTACTCTTCTTACTACTTTTTACTTAATCCAACTTATCTCTCTAATCATTGCTTTACAGCAGTGGTGTTTAATTGTTTCCAATTCAATCGCTTTGAATGAATTCTGTGGGAAAGTAAAAATTCTATTTTTATTCAACTAATTTGTATCGAAAATAGATCAAATTATATAGATAAATATCAAATTATATNTTAACCTTTGAAACACACGACAAAACTAACACTTAGAATAATTTAACTCAATACTTTTTAAAATTATTTTTTTTACGATGATCTCTCTGGAGGAGCCAATCTGAAAGAATAATTCCAAAGTTCAAAAACGACTTACCAAAGTTAAAAAAAAAAAAATAAGTCTTCTGTGATATTTGATTTTAGTAAAATGTTAAGGAGTAAAGTAAAAAGGAACACTTTATTGGAAAAACTTGACCAATGCTCATTCATACTGATTTGAAATTTAATAAACTTGTTTTTCGAAAAGTAAGAATGAAGGTTTTGCAAACAGAACTAATGAGCATAATTTTGGAATGAATCTTAATTTAATAACAAAAGTATACAAGTGTCTTATGAAAACCCATCAAATTAGAAATATTTTAAAGGTCTAAAAAAGGTGCCCTTTATTAATAAATAATGTTTTTTTTTTTTTTTTATAGAGCTGTCGGTAAAACTTGTTTGCTGATAAGTTATACAACAAATGCATTCCCTGGGGAGTACATACCAACAGTCTTTGACAATTACTCTGCCAATGTCATGGTTGATGGAAAGCCCATAAATCTGGGACTTTGGGATACAGCTGGTCAGGAGGACTATGACAGGCTGAGACCGCTTTCTTACCCACAGACTGATGTGTTTCTCATTTGTTTTTCACTGGTAAATCCAGCCAGTTTTGAGAATGTAAGAGCCAAATGGTATCCAGAGGTGCGTCATCACTGTCCCTCAACTCCCATCATATTAGTTGGGACTAAGCTTGATTTGCGTGAAGACAAGGAAACTATTGAAAGATTAAAGGACAAAAAGCTTGCTCCTATTACTTACCCACAGGTAATAAATTATTTTTTAAATTCCTGCAAAACTTATATTATCTGTTTATTACTTATAATTCCAATCAAAATGGATAATCACGTTTTGTTTGGATTTCAGGGTTTAACTATGGCGAAAGAAATCGGAGCAGTGAAGTATTTGGAATGTTCTGCCTTAACGCAAAAGGGACTGAAATCAGTGTTTGACGAGGCGATTCGCGCCGTACTTTGTCCTGTTTTACTGGTGAAGCCAAAACGCAAATGTTGCATCCTATAATATTAAATTTGTTACGTATCTATGCGCAATATTAATCACTGGGAAGACTATAATAATAACGGTGATGACACGGTGTCGTTGTCACAGTTGTTTAAAAGATAGACTCAGCGTGGCAAACACTTCTCAAATCCCTTGCATTAACTTTAAACCACCAAAAGATGTCAAATCGCACAAAAATTGTCAGACAACCGTTTACTCGTGCAAGAATTTTATCGTAAAATTAAAAGTATCACTATTACTATAAGCATGCAAAAAAATGCACGAAATAAAACGAAAATAACTTAAAAATATAAGTAATAGTAATCTATAATAAAAATGCGCAACAAAGGGTAAGAAAAGAGACTTCCATCGCTGATGTACCTCAGTATTTCCAGTCGACGTGCAAGAAATTATAGGTAAAGGGTTCTACAGAATTTACACTTGTCTGTTACTATTTAAAAGTTTGATCTCTCTTTTTTTATGAGAGGAGAGTGGGGGAGATAGAAACGATCCAGTGTAGAAAATGAAATTTTCAGATAATGAAATGTAGAAAAGAGGAAAAGCTAGAAAAGAAAGAGCGCCAAGATTTAAAGCGATTGTGTACAGTATATTAGATTATATTAATAACTAATAATGATTATCTATTACAAAAATTATATATATATATATTATACAATTACGCTATAAAAGAAAAATAGACGACTATGTAAGTTGACTGTGTAATTTTTAAACTAGGCTTAAGGCGCGCGAATCGTAAAAATGAATTTTAAAAATGCATGAGAATGATTGTGTCATAATGTGGACTTATATATAATTCTGCTCTATGCTCGTTGTACGCTGTTTGTCTTTAACGTAACACGCACAATGTTTCCTCACTTGTGTACAAATGTATACGCTCGCGAAGATGATTAAAATGGAGGAAAATAATAGAAAGAAAAGAAAACAAAATAATACGGGAAGAGCAGAGAAACAGCGTAACTGTGGAAAGAGTGCATGCAAGTATTTGTTGAAAAAAAATTAATTAAATAAAAAAATAGTAATATACAGTAACAAAGGATGGGGGAAAATAGGGGAACATTTTTTGAGTGCAAGGCAAAAATAGGACGAACAATCTAAAAGCGAATACATTAACTTTGTACATATAATTGCTCAAGTTCATATTGGCTACCAATTTTATTAAGCTAAGCCACTAATCGAATCTGTATCAAGGGTTAAAAACATGTTAATTGTTTTTTATATGAATATATTAATAAAAAAAAAAATAAATAAATAAAGTGTGTATGAAAACTGAGATTGGACTGAAATACATATAATGCGTAGTTTACACATGCCTCCAACTAAAAAAAAACTTTTCACTGCTCTTCGCACGTTTTTTGAACGTGCAAATAAAACTAATCTTGTTTCAGTCCGACTAAAATAACAAGAAAAAAAAACTAAATATTGTAACTAAATTTGCTTATCAAATGGGTGTTCCATATATGTTTTTTATTAACAGGGAATTAATAAAATATGTTGTTTTAAGTTAAAAAATGAAGTCTTTTTTTTTTTTTTTTTTTTTTAGTAAATTGTACACTACACCGACTTATAATTACTTTGTGAACATATTTACATAAATCGTTTTCGATAAGTGTAAAATTTAAAAATGTACAAGAAGTGACTAAGAATCAAGTTTTAATTATGGTTTTTTTAGTGAGTATTGTTTCTCAGCCTCACAGGTAGTGTCAATATTGCATGGAAACAATATTACTCTAATCTTCTCGTCCTATCGAAATTTCCAGGCTGTAAGAAAAATAAACTATCAACTGAGCAACAATTAAAAAAATTAACACGATTCACTGAACAAGAAAGCCTTGTTAGTTCAATGCATTTAGGCAGCCGTGTCGAAGAACGTATCAATTGTAGTCGCCACCTGCTCTGGACTGAATTTAATGTACTTGGCTGGGTTCTTGGAGAACGAGGTATGCCGATATTTGTGGTAGAAGGTCGTGTAGATCGGCACAAGAGACTGGCGCAGTTCGTTGCGCAGTTCCTCGCGTAACTGTCCGTCCGGTACGGCATACGTACGCTGAAACTTGGCCGCTTCCTCAAACTCTCGAGTGAACCCAGAGAAGCGCTCCTTAAGTACTTTTGAGCCTATTTTGTACGAATGTCATTGTTATTATCATACAAGTTTATTTGCAATTTCCAAGACGCAAGTATCAAAGTATTTTTCATCGCGCCACAACAATCTTGCATTATTTACCTGGCTCATCGTTGTGCTCGACATGTCCACGAGCTTTGGCAAAAGTTGCAGTGACATAGGTCGTGCGATCGCGAGCCAGCAGATCGAGGTAAGTTTGCTCGGCACTCGGTTCAGCCAGTAGCAGCAATTCCATGAGTGCGCTTCTCCTGAGCGCATTGATCACGTAGTTGTGATTATTCAGGCGGAAAAGGGCACGCAACGAAGGGTCCGAGTATGAGGTGTCGCTTTTGCTAACTAGAGCCAAGTTGAGCAGAGCCAACACGCGCTCTGTAATGCATAAATTGAACGGGTATATTTAATTAAATGGGGAAGGCTACTGAGAAAACGTCATCTGAGTCACACACACGTTAGGTATTTAAATGGTCGAGTGCTCAAAGAGATGAATCATTGATGAAATGATAGGTATCTCTGTGAAATTTGCCGACGCGGCACTGTTTGTCGTGATTCATTATGAATTCGGCCAATTGGCGGTATGATTATTCGATTATTTTAAAAACTTGCCTCGTAACACTAAGTAATAAAAACAAAAAAATATATTTACTTATGTAGAGGCCCAAGGCGGTTCTGCACTGTTGTTCGTTTTGTTTGGTATCCAGAGATCCAGAAGAATCAGATTCATTGTGTCTCTTGAGAACAGCACCAACGGTATCCGTGTACTCTGTCAGCTGTTCCAAAAAAATCAGTGTGTTGCTCGTGCTCTCCGCTACAGTGCCGTCCTTGGGCAATGCAGAACTCGACTCGTTGCGCACGTTCTCGCCGAAGCACTCCAGTGCTTGAGCACCCTGAATCCACAAGACAACGCGAGTTAAGTAAATGATGTACACTGCCTTGCGGCAAGGGGGAAAAAACTTACAGTATCCGTAAGGGTCTGAATGACAGAGGCAAACTTGGATCTGAGAGCGTATTCACAGCCCTCCACCGTCCTTTCCAAGTCCGGCTTCAATTCCTCCAGGTGCTTCAATATCGGGAATACCACCAAAACAGCCGTAAAGTCCTTTCTAGCGATACAGCGCTTTGCCCGAGCAGCGATGTTCTCACCGTCGTGAGCAACGAGGTCCATGGCATCCCTGACAGTAGCCTCGAGCACCTGCAGCTGAAGTGTCGCGGGCAATATGCGGCCGATCAGGGTGCGCTCGGCTTGCATGAGCTTGTGCAGTCCAGCTGCGAGCAGCAAGTAGTTCTCCATCTCCTGCTCGTCAACGGGTGCCGCGTCGTCGTTGCCGTGATGATGGTGGCCAGCTGGACTCGCTGCTGATTTTCGAGAGCTGGGAAACGAGAGACCTGTCGTCTGCGAGGCCTTCTGCAGCATCTTACTGGCTTTCTTTTCGAGAACTAGTTGAAGACGACGCGACGCTCGACGGCCTGCTGCCTCTGCTACGCTTAGCGAGTGTCGGTGGGCAAACTTTGTCCTCTGAAAAAGGATTTCGTGAGATGTATCGTCCTAATGTCATTTACATTGCAATAAATACTTACAGGCATAGGACTAGCGGCATGAGTGCTACCCCCACTGGCGCTTCGCTGGTGTTCTTTCAACAGCTGCAAGGAGCGCAGTACAACAGCGGAGCGCACCGTCGCGTAAATCTTGGTGTGCCTCCTGTGTCCTCTTTCCTCCAGCCAGCCTGATATCTTCACCAAATCAGTAAGTGTATTTTCAGGCAACTGACAAAGCGACTGTGGCGCATCCTCGTTACTTGTATCCTCATCCAAACCAATCAAGTCCAACAAGACAATGGGTAGCACTGGCTTGCTCTGTCTAGCCAAGATATCATTGAACTCGGAGTAAAGGGATTCCAGTCCTGTGCCAAAGAGAGTCGACACGTTCTCCAGCTCTACGGAGCTCGGATTGTTCTTTTGAAAGTAGCGCTGGGCATCGTACAAGCGATTCATTGATTCCAAGAAACCATCTAGGCCACCCACACCGCTGGGTCCTCCACGAACAGAGCCTTCCACCTCCTGACAGACTCCGTAGTAACCAATTGCATGATTCAGTATTGCCAATGTTTTCTCTACATCTGTGCATTAGTAATTAAGGCAGTTTGTACATTACTGACAATTGGAGGATGCTGTGTGTGTGCACTATGTAGAAAAGCGCGACAAATGAACTTACTGTGCTGTTGTGTTTGAAGGTTGCCAGTTTCATTGTAAACTGGAAGTATTGTACGACGAAGGGTAGCTAGTCTGTCTTCCAAGGATGATAGGATGGCCACCATACCATTGGTAAACCTTTTGCTTTGCTCTCGTGCTTCTTTCAAAGCTTCCAAAGAGGCAAGTTCCGCCTCGAGCTTACATTCTACTTCGAATCGCCTCTCGGACGTGTCACCGTTTGACTGCATTTTCGTTCCAACTATAAATTTCAATGAAAAACTTTCAACCAACATTAATCAACGTTGACGTTTCCAAGTTACACTGGGCAAGGGCAACCTGTATATGGGGATTGTTGTGATCTTGTAATTGACTTACTTTCATGTACAAACGACCATATTTACCAAAAAATAATATCAACAATACGGTTTTAACATTAATTTTTTACGTGTATTAAACGTGACAGTTTTCAATAACTTAGTAAATGTACTGATAGATGTTTTCGTTGAATTGTTGAGGACTAGTTGACCCATATGTTCCGATTGTTCCGAGAAGTCAAACTCAAGATATGAAAAATGAAAACATCGGATACCGGAAGGGGCGGGACTTTTAAATAACAAATATGTTCATCAGTTATCATGTGCGTCCATCATATTCATGTCTATAAAAATATTAAAAATATCAAATGATAGAATTGTATATAGAAATTGCGTATAAATACAGTTAGGTAGTTAACAGTCAACAGTTTTAACGTCCAGCTCTCATTCTCGTGTTGCCGTTTTTAATCAAATGATTAGCTTCGACTTTGGAAAAGCTTAGGTATGCATGCAAAGGAAAGAAAATGAAACAAACTCCTGGATATTACTAATTTTCATAAAAGTATAATTTTGTGTTTAAAAAAATAATTTTGTTTATTTTTTATTTTTTCTATTATTTCATAACATTTGCAGGCTTAGTTACGCATGATAGGATGAAACAAATAAAATGTTACAAGTGTGATTTTTTTTTTTTTTCATTGAGTTTGTACTAAATGTTTTCTTTTTTTAATATCTATTTTTTGATGAAACAAGGCACCAGATCAGGCACTCACAAACACATTGAATCTGCAGTACAAAACTAACACATAAATTATCAAAAATAAACATCCAGGTTTTTTTTTCAACATTAACCTTTGAAACACACGACAAAACTAACACTTAGAATAATTTAACTCAATACTTTTTAAAATTATTTTTTTTACGATGATCTCTCTGGAGGAGCCAATCTGAAAGAATAATTCCAAAGTTCAAAAACGACTTACTAGTTGTAAAAAAAAAAAAAAAAACCGTAACATTTGACAAATTACATACCTATGAATAGTTATAGAGTTATCAGCTATAATATGCGAGGTATCTAGTGGAGTCAAAAAGGCAAACTGACTATGAGGATGATTTTGTGCATGTTGCAAGAGAATATCAAGGATCACTCGGCGATTAATTTTATCCTAAACAAATAATATACAGATTAACACGTATTAGTGCTTCTAGTATCCTTTAATTTTAAGTAACACCACTTACCATGAACACATCAAATTCGTCTAAAAAATAAAATGGTAATCTTGTACTGTCCCACAGTGCTAAAATAAAAGCTACAGTAGAGTAAGAACGTTCACCACCTGAAAGGGCTTTGGCATCATGAGTTGTTCGCTTAGCATCATTTTTCGGTGTTACTTCTAGTGACAGTTCTTTTTTGTGATGATCAATTGTTATTTTTCCCTTATAATTTCTAAGAGATAAAATATTTGAGAATGACTTTTGCACTCTTTCGCTTATTTTTTTTTTCATTTCGTTGTAAAACACCTTGCGTTTTCTCAAACGATCCATATGTTTCTGAAAGTAAATAAATTTAAATAACGATTTAATGTAGTAAAATAACAATAAAATTAAAATTATTGTAAAAACGCAACTTACATCGTTGCTCCTCTGCAACTCTACAGCAAATTCACGAACGCCATAAAACATTTTTTGTTTTTCTTCAAGCTCTTTCAACAAATCATCTTTTGATCCATGTTCTCTCTCCATAGTTTCAATCATCACCTTGAGTTCTTTTGATCGATTATTCAAGTCACCAATCGATCTTAAAAACAATTAAAATTTCGTCAGTACTGTTTAATAATCCAAATTATTATAGATGACACGATAAAAATACCTTGTTGATTCCATTCGTGGACAGGTATTTTCGGCACTTTCAACCTTTGAATTAACGACTCGCTGTTGCTGTTCATGCTCACCAGCTAACTTTTGAAGGATCTGTTTGGCTTCTTCCATTCTGCGCGCTGCACCTTTATTCGAAACATTAAGTCTGTTTTTTTCGTCTTTCAGTTCTTTAATGTGATCCTAGAAAATTCAAGAATATTTCCATTTAATAATGACCAGAAAGTTATGAAAAAAAGTAGCGTTACCTTAATGGGTTGTAATTTGGCATCAAGATTTAATCTAAGATCTCGCTGTACTTTGCATTCATCATTCAAAGTATTTACATGTTTCTTCGACTCATTGAACTCTACTGCCATTCGACTTTCTTCCTCCTTCTTCTCAGCAAGCCATTTGTGACATATTTCGAGTTCTGTTTTCTGAAAAGAAATGCACACCGCGGTAAAATATTTCGTAACGCATGATTCTTGCATTCGGCTTTATTACTTACAAATGCGTTTATACTTTCATCATTGTATGTGTCAAGTTGATCTTTCAATTTGTCAATTTTGTTACTCAAATTTTGTTGATTCTGCTTTAGATTTTTAACGTGAGCCAGAACTTGATTAAGCTCCTGTGCAATACATAACTTTTTTTCACGAATACTTAAGCATTGTGATTCAGCAAGACGCAGTTCATCTTCAGCAACACCAATTTCTTCTTGCAACGACCTAACAAATGTTCGATAGTCAATAAGCAAGTATAATTTTTGGAATTAAAAAAAAAAAAGAAAAAAAAGGAAATAACTTACTGAATAGCATCACTAGTAGACACCTGTAAGTATCTTGGTTTGGTGACACTGCCACCATAAGTCCTGTATTGAGGGTCTGGGAAAAACAAATCAGCATTCATTGTGATTGCCCGTCTAGTATTTTGTGGTACTTTTCTTGCATCTGACATCACTTCACAAGCTTCATCAGATGTTGGAATCAAAAGTATACATTCGACTTCTCTTTGATCTATCAAAGAATTAGCTATTACGGGATGAGATATTTCCATAGCATCCAAAAGATTCATATACCTCGGTGAATGAGTACAGCCTTCACTTACATTATGCACCTGCAACATAAAGAGAAAAGAATAAGTCCAGAACACACCTACACACTTTTATTTTGATTTGTTAAAAAATGTTACCGACTCTGTCAAAAAATCTACTGATGACAACTTGAGGTAGACGATCTCCTCTGAACACTTCGTTCATTATCACAGTCAAAACACGATTGTCTTGAATGTTATCCACGCAAAATAAAGTAAGTGTTCCAAATCCTAAATGATTTTCCACTGCTGGTATCCATCGTGGATCTTTGACTTTGATAAAATGGCCTGAAGTAACCAAAATGGATAATAAATTTTTAATCAAAATACGTGATATTTCAATTCAACACATGTACTAACCTAGGGGACCAACAGGCTTATGTTTAAACCTTCCTTTTTGATGCTCTTCTTCAATTCGTTTTAAAAGACGAGGCATGTTTTGCCCATAAACAGTCAAAACATCACTAGATTGCCTTTTGAAAGCAGTTAATTTCTGTCGCAATTTTGCTGAAAGAATAGTTATAAAAAATAAAAATGTTTTCTGGCTTATACATTCACAAATTGCAATTATGAAAAGACGCACTTAGATTAATTTTTTTCTGTTCAACGTCCATTGAAGCATTGTGATACTGTTGATCAAGGAGTCGTTTGTTTTCTTCAAAATGCATGAGTTCAGTTTGTTTTGTTTGCAAAGTAGCTACAACTGTTTCAAGTTCTTCTTCACACTTTTTAAGTTCTTCAGTTAATTCTTGCTTTTCGGCACCACCTCTTGCTCTAGAAAAAAAAAGAAAAAAAATTATTTCACCAAATGATTAACTACGTTTATATATTTATAAATTTTCTTACTTTTCTAATTTTTTAATTTCGTTTGATACATCAGATATTTCATTTTCTTTTCTTTTGATGCTTTGATGAATTGCTCTCCATTTTTCTTTTTTCTGATCATGTAATTTACTAGCCTCCTTTAAACTTTGCTTAACTTCATTAAGTTTAGCTTCACTGCCAGATGCTTCAGCTTCATGTTGAGCTATTTCCTGTTTTAATACCCTGCAAAATAAGTTTTATAAAAAAATTATTACATTACACGATGAAAACTGAATTTAAAAAATCAGCTACATACTCGATTTTTTCGTTGATTTTTTGTTCTTTGGTAGCCTTTGATGACTCTAAATTTTTTAGTTTTTCCACATTGGCTTGTTGGCTTTCTATTTTAGCGTCAATATCCAATAATTTCTTTTCTTCTTGAATTGCCTGAAAATTTATACATTTACTTTACCTTTGCACATAGCCAGTTTTACTTATGAGATTCGTTAATGTACTTACAGTCGCCCACATGATTTCGTTATTGACACTATTATATTCTTCACGGGTTTCAACAAGAGAATCCAGAGCCTTAAGTTTCTTTTTAATCCGCGCTATGTCGTTTTCATTTTCAGAAAGATGCTTTCTTGCTTCCTGCAGACTCTGCTTAGTAACTTCACTCGATTCTGCAGCTTTCCTGTAGTTTTCGCCAATAACATCTAATCTAGTCGCTTTCATAAATAACTTGTACTTATCACTAGAATTAGCTGATACTAAAAAAGTTCTAGATACATCTTGATTTAATACTGAAATTGGATTATCAACTTGTATATTCAGCTGTTGAATAATGCTATCAAGCTCCTCTCTTTTAGTAGAAATTGTATCTCCTAAAAATAAAGTGTTTCGTGAAAAATATTAGCAATTGAGGTATAAATTTAAAAGATGTGTATTTTATGAGTTGTACAATTACCTATACAAATTAAATTACATACCTTTCCAATTTTTGATTTTGTACCCTGATGCAGACTGTGATATTGTACGAACTATGGTAATTATATTTCCATAGTTCTCATACTTATAAGGTAATGGGCCGTCGTTTGTAACAGATATCTCAATAAGACACGAGCTTTTTCCTTTTTTGATGAACTCTATAAAAATTGGTAAAATTTGATTAAGAGTCCAGCACTTATAAAAGAATTGTACACCACTCAACGAAAATCATTAATTCTTACCCTTGATGGATGGTCCTCTGTTGGTGATTTTAGCTCTGGCTCCCAAACCAACTGTCAAAGCTGTGAGTATGGCACTTTTGCCACTGCCATTTGCACCAACAATAAAGTTTACTCTTTGATTAAAATTCACTTCCATGGCATCATGACACATGAAGTTCTTCATGAAAACTCGTGTGATTTTCCCTGCCACAAGCTAAAATTGACAATTTTTGTAATTTTTTTTTTTTCTGTAATTTAATTTTTTTTTTTTTTTTCAAATAAAATGTTTTTGTTTCTAGCCAGCACGATGTAAAACTTATTTTAAAAGTAAGTAATCCCATCAAATTGGTTCTTTTAGTTTTAAAAAATAGAAATCAGAATAACAATGAAATACTGAATCAAGTACACCCCAATGATCAATCCTACTCGATTTTCAATATTCGTCTTTAAAATTTCCAGATAAAAAAAAAATAAAAAAATAAACAATCACCGCGCCATCCTCGAGCTCTTCAAAGCTGTCGTTGACGGTTTTACGGAGGCGCTTCTGCGTAGGTGACTCGTCCTCGTTAGTCGTCTTACGCTTGATGCCTTGACTGAGTTTTTCTGCAGCCATGTCCTCGGCTTTTGGGAAGTTTTTTCCCTTGATCACAAGTTATTCCTTAAATCAAACGAACGTTTTTCATAGCGAGTACTTTCATACAACGCGACATAAACGCCCGCGCGCTAAACGTAACGTCACAAAATTCGACACACAAAGAGGTTCGAGACTTCAGCGCCAATCGTATGGATGCAAATGCAATGCCTAGGTTATGACGCTTCCAAGCACAAGAAAAACATTCGAATTAACATCAAAAAGAGACAATTGCAAACACGATGACAACCTAAAAACGATGTGACAGGAATATACTTGTCTTGTGAAGAGATTTGTTTCTGGCAAAACAAAACACTCAACGAAGCTTGCTACATCTTTCAAATCGCAAACGGGGATAAAATCCGTTTTTTTTTCCTTCCCGCGAGAGTACACAAAAAAAAGACTACTCAAACTGTTTTTTTAACGAGATGTGCAACATAATTGACTGGCAAGTGCAGACAAGAAACGGGCCTTGACTTGACTTGTTTTGAGAATATATAAGGCGAACCGCCATTTTTCGTTTGTTTTTTCTCTCCTACTAATGAACTGCGCGCGCACGGCCAATTTCCTGTCGAAACAAGTTTAAACTGTTAGAAGCATTACACGATTTTTGTGTAACAGCGTGACCTTGATCTGTTTTTTTTTTCATGGTGCGCTGATAATGCACGAATTTTTTTTTAGATAAGATATAGCACAAAGTTATTAAATGCCTTGTTAATAATTAAAGTTTTCATTGTAAATAGCGTCTACAGAATCAGCTGATTGTTAACAGTGTGTGTTTCAAGTTTGAATCGAGAGAAAAATTTCTAGATACTAGCTGTTCTTATCAAAATTGCCAATACTCTATAATGTGCACGAGTATATACCTATACCCGATAACTAACTAAACATTCAAGAGCTTGTCAAGCTTTTTTTACGATATCAAATCGCTTCTGGGAAACGCAAAAAATGCAAAATAAGAGTGTTTTGCTCACCATACCTAAGTTAAGAGGCAACAGATCAACAACAGGAAAGTAAAATATTTTTTCTCGTATTAAGTACCAATTAATAGGACCCTTGCAAATACGATGACTTGAGTTAAAACTGCAGGTACACTGCCGTGGTCTGCATCCAACAACGTCCAACAAGCAATTGTCAAGTGTCAACCATCAATTGTCATCTTCTCGACTGTGCACTACACATACATGTACTGTACATACATGTATAATGCAAATTACATTTATTTGAAAAGGTAAAGATGATAATCAAATGAAAAACAAAAAAGTTTTTAAAAAACAACCGGCCGGCGATTGGGTGGTGGGTGGATGGTGTGCTGCATTTAAGGAACATTGTATGTAAATACTTATACATATGTATACTTGGTACAATAAACCTGCAGCATGCGCCTAAAAATACGCAACAACTGCCAATGAGTATATTTTACACGCAGCCCGCTTTTTAATTAGATCTGCCAATTTTTTGTCATCCATCCCATATTTCGTATCTCTAGGGTGAGTAACGTCTGTTATATGTTATATACATGTCAAAATATTTTTTAGTTTAATCTAGATGTAAACATGATAGAGATAAAGTTTTTTAAACAATTTTCCAAGTAGGTATTCTCAAATCAATGCACCAACTTTTATTTATACATTTTTTTTTTTTACTTGAAGAAATTATGATGATTTATAATCCTGTAATCAGTAAAAGTAAATCTGTAGCATTATTAGATTATTACTATGACAACATACCATTTATATTAACTAACATACCAAACATACACTGCAATGGTATGGAAGACGTGAACCAGAAATTAGTAGTGGGTGAGAGCGCCCTAAATTTTAGTTTAGTACACTAAACGAAACAGCTGTTTTCTCTCAGTTAATCAGTTTCCTCCGCAACGGCGACGACGACGCGCGCACAGAGGTAAATAAAGTTGAGGAGTTGATCAGTTGAGTTACTTAACTCTTATCAGGGAAAGAATAAAAGAGGAAGCTACCAATCAAGTCGAGGGCGAGCTTTATTTTTTTTTTTTAACGTGAAAGAATATTTAACAACATAGGTAAGGACAAATGTAATTTGCGCTTACCTAATGTGTGTACACGCGAGAATAATTTGCAACTTTGCAAGGTTGATTTCAAAGCCATAACTGTAGTGCTGCTGCTGGCCATATTTATTTACACTTTGTGTGATATGCTGAGAAGTACATTTCCCAACATCTTCACTTACTTTCATCCATTTACTTACTACAAGTCTGCATACAAAGTTAGTTTTTACCTCTTATTGATATTATTACATGTAACACGTGTATGCGTGTAACTCGTGACGCAAAAGTCTCTCAAAAGCCGTGCTATGCACAATCATGCACACTCACTGTATAATTGAATCGGCCTGCCTTACATTTTTTTCTTCGAGTTAAACGTTATGTAAATGTATAAATATTGGTGGGGCTTCAAGCTTCAGCTATATAATAGCTTGTAGGTGGTTAAGTATACCTTGATTAAGTGGCCTTTAAGTATTATTTGCACACTTATTTTGTTGATTTTTTTTTTTAATTAATAGAGGATATTGATATGCAACTGTTTTCTGTGTTTTCAGGTTTTTTGTGAGTGTATAATCAGTTTTAAAGCATCAGTATGGATAGGCCAATATCAGCGGATATTGTAATCATTGCTGGAAATTCTCACCCTGAACTAGCTAATTTAATTGCTGAGTAAGAATATATTTTACTTTAGTTCATATGAATCATGAGGCTTTGTTAACTTAATAATTGTTCGACCTTGTTTTCCTCATTACAGTCGCTTAGGAGTGAAGAATGGAGGCTGTGCAGTGTATTATAAAACAAACAGAGAAACGATGGTCGAAATTGGCGATTCCGTCAGAGGCAAGGACGTTTACATTGTACAAACCGGTACTAAAGATGTGAACAATAACATAATGGAGCTCCTAATTATGGCTTATGCCTGTAAAACTTCTTCGGCCAAAAGCATCGTTGGCGTCATTCCATATCTTCCTTATTCAAAACAGTGCAAAATGCGCAAAAGAGGCTGTATCGTTTCAAAGCTATTGGCTAAAATGATGTGCAAAAGTGGTCTGACCCACATAATCACCATGGATCTTCATCAGAAAGAAATTCAAGGATTCTTTGACTGTCCTGTGGATAACTTGAGGGCCAGTCCCTTTCTACTTCAATATGTACAAGAATCGGTTAGTATTATGCATAAAAAGAATGATATGTCTCATAAAAATTCAGCTCAAAAAGCATAACAAAACATAAACATCAGATTCCAGACTTTCGTAACTCAGTTATAGTTGCGCGAAATCCAGGAAGCGCAAAAAAAGCAACAAGTTATGCAGAGCGTCTTCGTCTTGGAATAGCCGTTATTCACGGTGAGCAGCGTGAATCTGAATCAGACATGAATGATGGACGCTATTCGCCACCTACTCTGTCATCCCTGAGGACAATGCAAGTCGGTGTTGGCGTGCCAGTACATCCGGCCAAGGAAAAACCACCAATAAATGTAGTTGGCGATGTCGCAGGGCGCATAGCCATCATGGTCGATGACATGGTCGACGACGTACAGTCTTTCGTTGCTGCAGCCGAGGTGCTTAAAGAACGTGGAGCTTACAAGATTTACGTGCTTGCGACTCACGGATTACTCAGCTCAGATGCACCCAGGCTTATTGAAGAGTCCTCCATCGATGAGGTACACAATGTCTTGGCAGTATTCCTATAAATATATATTTTTTTTTTGGTTATAAAGTAAAATTAAAATATTTGTCTCATTGGCAATATCCCGTGTTCTCAAATCACTTTGATTTAACATGCGATATACCTCTTTAAGTCATGTATGTAATCAAACTCTAATTTAATGATCATTTAGTGGGTTAATAATGAATACTTTGTTTCTAACTTTAGGTTGTTGTCGCCAACACAATTCCACATGAACTCCAAAAAATGCAATGTCACAAGATAAAAACCGTAGACATAAGTATTCTGCTGGCAGAAGCAATACGTCGCATACACAACAAGGAGTCGATGTCATATTTATTCAAAAACGTCACTCTAGAGGACTGAATGTTTTCCAGAGTGGGAAGTCAACGATACCTGAATACATATGTATATCATATATGCTCACTGACGATGAGCCCATCTTTTAGCGAGACACAAAAACGGAGATAGAGAAAAATATTCTATTTACTCACACAAATTCACACGTAAATATTACCACGTTAGAGCATGATTCAATTCTATAATTTTATATGATATTTTTGTATGTATTTAACCAAAGTGTGATATTAAAATGCAACCACCAAATGCGTGATACAAAAAGGTCACACGAGAACGACTTCTATTCCAAAAGGAAGCAGTTTTTAAATCATGTGTATTTTGCCAGTTAATAGCATTTTTATTTTTGAATAGATATTTAAGACTAAAAATTTTTTTTTTTCGTCAGCACAATGATTCTTTTCGTTAGTTTTATCGATTTATTTAAAATTGTATTTTAATTGTGCATTGCTTATCTTTTTGGAGAGCAGAAAGCGAATATATTTGTTTTTTATTACTTACAATCGATTTTTTGGATTAAGTTTTTTTATTTTTTTTTATTTTTTTTTATTTATATACTAGTAGCTAGTTTTGCGAACTGTAATTATCTTAATGTATAGATCGCACATGACGATTGAATTATAATAAAATAGTGATCATATTAAATTGAGTCAAATTCTATGTTTGCCTTGTGAATTCATGCAAAGCTCGTATCATTTTGACCAAAAATATTTGTTTGAAAGTTCTTTGACGTTTTTACTCATCAAATTTTATAGAATCATAGCTAACAAACAGATACTCGTGAAAAGCCGAATGTTGTCATAGCAACATTAAATCTTGTTTACTCACCAGGTACACCAGATACCATATAATGTACATGTTTGATGGCGTTCATTAAGTTGTTAGTGCATTGTACCCCTTAGTATACTACAATTAAGGTAAGCATGACCTGGTCCGAAGAGTCTCATCAAATTTGTTTGTCTCTACAATCAGAGGATAAGTTTAAGAGGAAACAAGTGCTCAATGATATTTTGCAACATGTCGAGTCGATCGAAACTATGGACCAACAAGATTCGTTACAGTTGTGGGAAACATTTCACAGACCCATTGTTCGTACTCTACACGATCAAATGGAGGCTTGCAGAGACTTGGCACTCAAGATTTTAAAAAAGTTCATCCTGCACTTGCCGTGTTCTGACAAGAACATAGTGTACGTGATACCTATTATCACGAAACGCTTGGGACCGCAAGAGTTGATCGAAACGTCTGAAGAAGTGAGACTGAAGTGTATCATCTTATTGCGAGCTATCGTAGATAAGTATCAAGACAAACTGACGGCTTATTTTGAAGATTTGGTGGCAATTTTGACGAGAACTGTCACTGACAAGTATCCGGAAGTCAAGCAGGAAAGTTGCGAGTGTATCTGCGAAGTCGCTAAAGCTCTGCCTAACGATTTTAATAAACGATCGGAGGTTTTCGTTAGGCCGATATTAAGTAACTTGGCTCATCAGCACCACAAAGTGCGGATAACTACTATCAAAACAATTGGCGTAGTGTTGATTTACGGCGATAGCAAACTGATGGAAATCGTGGCAGGACCAATGGCCGAGAGATTGTTTGACCAGTCGGGTACCGTTAGAACAAGTATTGTCATTTTCATTTAACTCGAACAAGAAATATTTATTTACCAAATAACACAAAACAACATCGATTTTTTTAGCTGTCATCGATGTGGCTGGAATGTGGATGATGGAGCTGAAAGACAGGTACAGCTATTGGTACAAATTACTGCCTCTGTTACTCACAGGCATGAACGATGTAATCGCGGATATTCGTGACAAGGCATCGAAACTATGGATGGCCGTCGGTGAAAAATACATCACAGAGAACGAATCCGACAAAAAATTCAAAGAGAAATTGGATTTTCTTCCCGAGTGTCTGGCTCATTATCCCGCCAATAGTGAGCATTTTTCCCTCGACGTATTTTGAGCACGATATTATTATTGTATAATTACTCAAAATTACTATCAACATTACAGTTGTCAGACCAAATTTAGGATGCCGTACAATAGTCCAACAAAATTTGTGCAAGCTTATACCAGCCTTGTCTCGAGAACTTGGTGACTGGCTAAGTGACATAAAAGTTCGAGCTGCTCAGTTACTCTGCATTCTCGTACTCAACGTCGAAGAGGAAATAACAAATTACTTGAAAAAGTTACTTCCAGCCATGTATCGGTATGGACGACGCGCGTTTAATTAATTGAAAAGCTACATGCATTTGAAATATTCTTTATTTTTTTAGAGCTTGCGTCGACGAGGACAACAGGGTCGTAGAAAATGTTGAGCTCGCTGCCGAATACATGGCGTACTTTGTCCCTGCCAATGTCTTGCTCGACCATTTGATATCGGATCTCTGTGGACTTCCTACCAAGGGCCAGTTGAAGGTGTTTGCTGGCATATTGCGGGGCTGCACGAGAAAAGAGCTCGTCGTCGAACTACCCAGAATCGCCAAGTTTTTAAAAGAGAGTGAAATATGCTTGAATCGTAAGCGACACTATCAATTAGATGTGCTCAACTGCTGTCAGTCGCTACTCGATGTCTGCAAGGAGGACTGTTCCACGATATCCGAGACCTTGTTCGTGACGATCTTTACCGTCCTTGCCCTGTCGTTGGACATATTGGTCTCAGACAAGGCCAAGAAATTACTGGAACTTCTTTCAAAAACTGAAGGCTTAGATCACTCGAATGAGCTCTACGAGAAGTACATCAAGGTCGTTTTAACGTCAATTCAAGCAGAACCCGAACTATGGAACACCAGCTCTCACGAGTTTTTAATTTTTCAAGCCTGCTTAACTCACGCGAGATCGGCATCGTGTGCCAACTTGAAACTGGTTCATCCTATTTTCGAAAAAACCACTTCAGGCGAAGCTGATCCAAAACTGCGGTTGAAGCAATATATTCTTCTGTCAGAGTACTTTCAACACTGGGACAAGCCAAGTGAAGACGGAGATACCAAGGCTTTTGTCGATTTTGCAAGCTTAATGCTCGAAAAAGTTATTTTTCCTGGATTAAAATGGGCTGCTGGCAGAACAGCCGAGGCAACGCGTACTGCATCCGTGTGCTGTCTTTGTACCCTGCTGAACAAAATTGTGGGCAATTGTAAAGATAATGGTACTGAAGGTGATCAAAAGTCGAAGCTCCAGTCATCTATAACAGTAGAGCATTTTGGCTGGCTGTTTGACAGGGTTCATCCGATTCTCGTTAATCTGATTGAAGATGATTCGCACAAAACGAGACTTTACACACTTCAAGCCATTTGTCTTGTGATGAACATTGGACAAGAATTGTCTTGCATTAAAGAAGAGCACATTCACCAAATGAATCCTGATATACTGACTCGTCTGGAGGATCAACACGATGACGTTCGTCTTGCGGCCGTTGAAGCGATGAAGGAGATTTGGAAAGTCTTGCCAAAAGATTACGATCTTTCATTTTATTACGTTCACATAGAATACGCCTACTCGAAGATGCTGACGCATTTGGATGATCCGGGAATAAAATTTCAAATGCAAACCTTTGGTAATTTATTTGTTTTAATTTATAGTTCGACATCGATGAATGAAATTTCAAAGGCTGTTTTTTATTTAATTTCAGATTGCTTGATGGATCTTATGAAAGTGCATCCAGAACTGTTGATTGAAAAAGTTCAAGAATCTCGAGACAAGTTCATCAATCAGAAAGCTTTGGACAAATTGGTTGAAGCTGCTCAAAATCACTTAAAAAATAAGATAACACAGTAATTTTTTTTTTTTTTATAAAATATTTAGCCCTAGTACAACTATTTTATTGTACAAGTCAATGGAGCTATCGTAACTTGGAAATACTTTTCAATGTCACGTAAGAGCTCTCTCTCTCTCTCTCTCTCAAGATCCTATTACTTAAGACCGAAATCCAATTTAAACGGAACAAATAATCAACTGTCATTTGAAAATAATAAAAAGTGAATTTGAATAACGTAGAATTTTGTAACCAGTTCCATTATTAATTGATAAAGTTTGATGGTTTCATGAGGGTAAAAAAATATGATACACACGGCAAACGATCGATTTCAGACTTTTAAAAAGACACTCGTGTGTGTTTCTCTTTCTCTGTATCGTGTGCTATATATATTTCTCTCTTTCTTTGTCGCCATATTGTTCGCGCGCGCTTTAATCCGTTAAAAAAAGGCAGAAAGAAAAGATAAGAGAACCAGAGGAAGAGATACCGTATACTTAGTACCTACTATCCGTAAAAGAAAGGCCGTGAGAGGTGCCGGGCATCAATCGTGCAGTGTGCGTATACCTACATTATTTATATGAATTCGAGCGTGTGATACGAATAATCGAAGATAAGTGAAGTAAGTATATTGACCTAACAAGTACCTATAAACAGAGAAATTGAAACTGTAGGGAAAGCAATGAAGTACAATAGCGAGAGCAGCTAAGTTGATGGTGATTTGGTGATAGTTATGCTTGCAGTGCTTGCACTGCAGTACTGCACAAGTATAGTTGTTGATTAATACATCGATAGTTATACTTACAATGAACGAAACAAAATTGTGTGAATTATTGGTGACGTGAATAGTTAACACTTGATTCATTGTCAAGTGCAAAGGTAGGCAGGTATAACAGGAACTGTGAGGACTTTTGGAGGTAAAACATCACTGTGAGTACTGTGACATGACTGATAGACTGACTTACTTTTATAGTAGACTTATGACTGAAGCTCAAATTCCAAGAATCCAATTTGGGAGCAAGTACTGATAGTTATCACCTACTCGTCTGCGTCCATTATATTAAGTTGCACGAGAAGTTGCATGTACGTGTAATCTGCTCAAGCGCTCGTTCATTAATTTAATGATATCGTGTCATTTGAAATAATTAAGCTTTTCCCTTTTCTTTTATTGCTTGTTCGATTATTTGATCGCGAATTGAAGCTTCTTCTCTGTCTATACCATACATGTATACTTACATACAAGGGCATTCTCGAGAAGGGGTCTGTTAGTTAAAGTAATAAGTCATCTGCTTGTTTAGCTTACTTAGCTCAACCCGTTGTTTCTTTTTTCATCTTTTCTTTTTTACTCTCCTTTTTGGAGCTTGAACGAAGCTGTCATACCCCCTGGAAAGTTTGGTAAAGAAATGGCCAATGCAACTCTCTACATGATTACTTTTGAACTGAATTTTCGGGCATATTGTATACATTTCATTTGTAAAAAAATGCACTTTTGAAGACATGCAAGTCAATCGTGCATTGTTGAAACTTTTGCTTTTTAATGACCCAGTAATTAAAAGTTCATGAAATTGTGATAAGGAACTATGTTTGCTGTCGTTGTCTGTATTGCAGCAATTTATTATAATAGGTGACGTATCCAACATTTCTTTTCAATAAAGAATATCTTATTTCTAGATCCAAAAATGACTGAGCCAAAACTGGACCACGTTGATTCTGTGGATGATGAGTTGGAAATTGACTCAAACTACAAGCCCCCACCAGAAAAGACCATTGAGCAAATTCTCGAAGCTGATAAAGAAGACGAGAGCTTGAGAAAATACAAGGAGACTCTGCTTGGTGAAGCTAAAGCTGGTGGTGTGATAGTTGGTAAATAATATTTGGCAATCATACACCTTTGTACTTTGACAAACACTCTTTTTTGTTTTTCCAAAGCGTCTTACACTGTCTTGCTGTTTCCGTTTGTTTCTAAAATTGATTCTTTTTTTTTTTTTTTCTCATTTTTTTAGAACCCAATGATCCCCGAAAAGTGATTGTTAAAAAATTAGCACTGTGTGTAGCAGATCGACCAGACATGGAGTTGGATTTAACTGGTGACATTTCACAACTCAAAAAACAAACGTTTGTCATTAAAGAAGGCGTCAGCTACAAAATTAGAATTGATTTTGTAGTACAAAGAGAAATAGTTCATGGTTTGAAATATGTCCAAAAAACTTTCCGTCTTGGTGTTCCAGGTAAGATGATTATTAATTTTATATCCAATGTAAAATATCTTATAGCAAAAAATGCGTTACAATTAGTGAACAGATAGTAATTACATTTCTAACAATTTAATACAAATGTCATTTTATTTTTAATTAATTGCTGTCGTGGAAAATTAAATATTTTAGGGGTAACAGGTAATTTATGAAGTGTATATACATCATAGAAATCATATAGCATTGACCAATTGTGCATTAGAATTAATGCATTTATATGTATTTATTAATGGTAAATATTTATTCCTCAGTCGACAAAATGACGCACATGGTCGGCTCCTATCCTCCCAAGATGGAGCTCCATTCTTACACAACACCAGCTGAGGATGCGCCCTCGGGTATAATGGCTCGTGGCTCCTATACTGTGAGTTCACTTTTCACGGATGATGACAAACATGAGCATCTCAAATGGGAGTGGTCATTCGACATTAAAAAAGATTGGAAAGAATAGGTGCCAATCACACTTCTTGTCTCGGCTCGTGTATGAGAATGAGGAAAGAAAACACGTCAAGACGGAGCAATTCTCTCATTGTCGTACGTTTTTTTTTTTTTTTTTTTTTCAACTAGTAATCATCACATATTTTACAAATACGAGATTACTTGATAAAAGACATTTAATTCGCGGATGCCAAACGCATTTTACTTTTTACTTTTTATGTAATGAATTTTGATTGCTTGTGAGCATTGATGAAGAATCTAATGCCATAATGAATTTCCATTATTGCTTATGAGGGCGCTAATGATGTTCAAATAAGTACTTTATTTTCTTTATTCAATCATTTATGTAATTTGTTGATACATTGCGTTAAGTGAATGTGTGTTCTTTTTTGCAAGACACGTATAAAAATATTGTTACTAAAAATGCATTAAATAGTTGTGTAATATTATTTATTAACTGCATTTTTGACAAGTGCTATAAACACTTAAAGTATTAAGAGATGAAAATCCTAGTAAGGAATTTTATGCTAAATTTAAATCTAAAGAGAGTTAACTGCACAACGAATGGCCTGTTAGTTACATATTGTTGTTAACACTTATTAACAAAGTTGTAGACTTTTCAAAAATTTAATAGTAACAAAATGTCAATTGTAGTGTAAGAAAAGTGCAATACAACGACCCACTATACAACGAAACAATCTCCCATTCATACAACGAAAATTCACTTCAAAAGCAATAAAAAAAACTGTATAGATTGGTGACTATTTTTGAGACTATCTATCAAATCGAGTGCGAGTACGATATTTTTTTTAGCACATATTTATATTGTAGATTCAAAGAAAAATAGGTACCAACGTTGTGTATTTTCTTAGCAGGCTGCACTTTTGTAAAAAGACATTTTACACAGACTACACGATTTAGATAAAAGAATACAGACACACATACACGTAAAATACTCGTAGTACAAAAATAATATTTTTGCACTGACCTTAATGCAATGCGCGTCAAGGAAAAAGGTGTCGGAAAGATAATAACTACATGTATTAAGTACACACTTTTTTGAACATATGTTTTTAATGAATGCAAATATGAAGAGTTACGTATGATAGAAGATTTAATTGATTATAGATGACGTAAAGTTACATAAAGTTAAAAAAAAAAAAGAAAATTTGTTTGTAGATACAGCTAACAAACAGTATATTATGTATAGTGAATTGCTTAAATAATAAAATCGATTTGAATAAATTATACTCGTGTACATTTTTTTAGGAACAAATTTCGTATTGCAATATGACACAAACTCAAAAATACGGACAAAGTAATTTATAGTTTGGAGTTTTAGCACTTTGCTCGTGTGTGTACACTATATGTATGTACACTAGCTTAACGTACATACCTTGATTCGCAAACCGCGAAGTTTGAATTTTTGAAGTAATTTATCGTATTAAAACACGAGAGGAACAACCATAACCATAAAATAAAAATATAACGATAAACAACTACCATATTAATAACTATTGAACAATGTTAAAATCATATTTAATGTTTATTTGTCATAAAAAAATTTAAGACTTAAAACTTCACGGTTTGCGAATCAAGGTACGGTGAGGCTGCAGTCACATCAATTATAAACCAGCCGCAGCTGATCATTATAAATTACAATAAAAAGTTAACGTTGCTGTGCTATTTGCGGCACGTTTAAAATCTATCTTTTACCCAAAAATTAACCTATATTTTTATACTTTTGGGTAAAAGGCAAATTGTAAACTTGCCGCAAATAGCACAAATGATGTCGAATTTTTATTTTATATATGTAAAATTAGTTGCGGCTGGTTTATAATTGACTAAATGGCTCTAGGGCCTAGACTGCCTAAAGCTCTCCTTCAGAATTTTAGGGCCACTTTTTAGTTCAGAGTTCAGAAATCCGGAACGCTAGATAGCGCTGATCCAAAAAATTATAACTTTTAGTAATTATAATTATTACTTATATAATTATAATTGTAATTGCGGTTGATTCGTTGCATACAAGCATTAAGATTCCTTGCTTACCATCTGAGGGTGCATGCTTTGCATGTGTTAACGCGCGTGCTACTGATGCAGAGATTGCAGAGGTGCAGAGGAGTTGCAGACTATATACATAGTGAAAGTTGACAGCTCCTGCATTGAATTGATGGGACGATGTGCAACAACTGCTCCGCTTTTTGCTGCTACAACGCCTGAAGCACTGCCAGCACAATTGTATAGTACTTTTAAAAGCTATGCCTCGTGTCCAATCCCTAATCAATTTTAATTAGGTAGCTCCACGTAAACGTATATCCAGTGATAAGAGTAGCTGTACAGTGTTGGCAGGCGATGTCGTGGAGGTACAACATAGGTACTATTTCTTGAGTGACGAACAGTTCAAGGTACATATTATTTAAATAAATTATATTTATCATAATTATTTAAAACAAAAACTGTGCATACACATATTACTTTCTGTATTACGTGCTGCTGCAGCACTAGCCGCAAGTGAAAGTTTTCACGTGTTGGCTTTCTCTTTCCGATTTTCTCTTCATTGTCTTTTTTTCTTTTTAAATCTTTGGTAGTTTCTCCTTTATTTAATCAATAAATTATTGGAAGAAAACCAATAGGTAACGTGATCAATTTAAATTTCTCCTCGTGTGTATGAGTTCACACCTCTCCCTCGTACTCTCCCGACACCCCCGTATTTCTGTGTACATTTTTTTTTCATACTCTGTTCACTAAGTAGTTACAATCGAGAGATTTTATTGATACTTGACTGCTCACATGACTTCTCTTCGCTCTAATTATTTTTGTTTTTTTTTATCTCGTGTTATAAGTACCTAATTTAAACCCTTGACGTTCGCTTCTTTTACGTAACCTATTGAACACCTTTTTTTTCAATAATGACAAGTATACCCATGTATAACCATTGTACTTATAAGTAATTATTAATGCGCTTGTTTTTTTTTTTTTTTCTTTCTTTCTTTTGCGGGGGTGACAATTATGTTCCAAAATGTTTTGAGAACAACAAAAGTCAAAAACATAATTTTTTTCCGCCTCGCAATCTGATTTTCAAACGAAATTATTTTTTGTATGCATTAGTCACTTTAATCTTTTTTTTCCTTGTCTCGTGACAGATATAAGTGGTGTCGTAGTAAGTACATTTTTTTTTTTTTTTTATCACCAACAATATATGAATTTTGTTAAAAATTCTTTTTCATTATTATATTAAATTATCACTCAAGCTTGAATTTTTTTCAGTTCAAAATACCTACTCAATATCTAATGAAGTATTGATTGTTTTAAGTATTAAAAATAGCTAGTTTGTGTTAATTTATTGGATTATCGATTATCTTTTGTGGTTTGAAGGAGGCAGTTAAGCTTTCAAGAGCAATTTTCTTGTACCTTTCTAAAGATAGAATGCTTTATTTCAGTTTATATTTAGTACACAAAAGCAATTTTTTTTTTCTCAGTGAAGTCGCACTTGCCTGAGACTTGGGTAGGGATATTCTTTGAGTCTAGGAGTATACGTTATAGTGTAATGCTTATTTCTATCTTAGTAAGCTATTTTTGAAAGTGTTGGACAAATACTTTATATCACTCTTGGCTATTTTGGTTATTCTTATTCCAAACTGATTGCACTCAATTTGGCTTTCTTTTGTTAGATGAGAAACGTACGTGCTAAGCTTAGTGTGTATTTTATTAGGTTTAATTAGTTTTGCATCTATATTATTTATTTTTTTCTTACTGGTACCAGTGTACTTTACTTGTTGAAACTTCTACTCTGATTTGGTTTGAAAATAGTTCTACACAGTTGACAGATTTTACAGATGTTGTATGAATATCATTGTAGTTTTCTTTCTTCAATGGTGAGGAAACGTGTTAAGCGAAAGGCAACTGCTGCAAGTGGTGCCAATGCTAGCGGAGCAACAAATAATACTGAGAAAAGCTCTACTCAAGTACACAACAAGAACTTGAGCAGTGTCAGAGCAGTGGCCTCTGACAAAGAAATGTCTCACAATGATCTTGACTTGTGTTTAAAGGAATATATTCAACCCATCTCAAACGAACCTGCAAGTGATAAACATACAACGGTATTTTTTCCCTATGCACTCAATTGTTATTCTTCACGCTTTGAATTTTTCTGTGTGATGTATTATGCTGTTCTTTTTCATTGTTTTCTTTGTCAACTCAAGAACGTGATTAATTAGTATTATTGTATTATTTTGTGTTATATTCACCTGTATTATTTTGTTAATCTTTAAGTTGTTTGTAGTTGCACTTAATTGTATTTTTTATTCACATTGAATGTATTACTCTACACACTATCAAAAATAAGGTTCTTACTCTCAAATGACATAATATCTACTTACTCGAGATAATAAAAATATCTAAGTTCATGTTCACAGATAAGATTTAACATATGGTGATAAAAAGCAGTTCACTTCACTATGTTACATGGTTTATTTGTGACATTAATTAATGCATTGCATAATTTTGAACTGTAATTTATAATATTACTTTAAATATAATTTTGATAGATTTTTTTTATTGAATTAATTATAACAATTTGAATGTTTAAAAAATATAACTTTATTTCCTTCGTGAGATTGACTTGAGAGTGCAATGAATTTCAACCAATGCCCTGCTTGGAAACCATTAGTCACTTATCAGTATCAGTATGTGTAGAGCAGTGTAGATACATAATATGATAATGGATTATAATTAGAAAAGACCCTTGATCTTAAGTGACCTGTTTTGTGTTTATGTTGCCTTACCAACTGTTTGAGTACAAAATACAAGTTCTGTTGATTTTTTGATCATTTAGTTGTGTTAATAGCACACTATATTGTAGTAAATATAAAAATTGTAGTGTCGAAAAACAATGATGAAACCAAATGGTTTCTCTGAAATTAAGATAAATCATTTTGTTATTGACATGGATTTTCTTGAGTCTGAAGTAAAGTTATAAAAAGATTCATGTTATAAAGAATGAAATATTTAAACAATTATTATTAGAACTGATCTCTAAATTACTTAGCAATGATTTAGTGGTTGTTAGCATTAATTACTGTTTTAAATCACCTTAGATGTTAATATTTACTGTTGTTTTGCAAGTTTGATTACTTAGTAATTTTTGAAACAATTTAATAAGTGTAATGATTAAAATTTCTTTTAATTTTTAGATAAACAAACAAGGAAACGCAATGATAGGGAGTACAAATGCTTTGCGCAGAGCCAAAGATGTGCCATCATCATCAACCAATGGTGCCAGACCAACCGCTATTGATCAGAGTGATCATGTCAAAAAGAACTGCAATGAAATTAATCCCGATCACTTGACGCTATGGCAGCATCCTATTACAACTCTCAATTATTTTATAAGAGAACTGCTGATTGACTGCCTTAGCTTTGCAAGAAAAACTTTGAGATACAGGAAGACCGTTTTTTGTACTGTCACTTTTATTACATTATTCTTTTTTTTGGGTAGGATTTCTGGACCACAGCAACTGGTAAATACTTTGTATTCTTATGTTTCTCATATTTCTTTTCACGTAATTTTTAAGCTCTACCAACTAAAATGTATATTGATTTTCAGGCGTTTAAAGCTTGGGAAGACCAAATCAGATGGTGGTTATATTGGGTAGGCTTAGGAGTGCTATCAAGTGTCGGTCTTGGTACAGGATTACACACATTTGTCTTGTATCTTGGACCCCACATAGCAGCGGTAACGATGGCTGCCTACGAGTGCGGTGCACTTAATTTCCCAGAACCACCATATCCCGACCAGATAATATGCCCTACGACTGTAGATACGAATTGGACTGTAGGTATATTAAATATAATGAAAAAAGTGCGCATTGAGGCAATGCTATGGGGAGCTGGTACTGCCCTTGGAGAGTTGCCACCGTATTTCATGGCCAGAGCCGCGCGTACTAGTGGACAAACCTCCAAAGATCAAGATTTTGATCAAGAGGAACTGAAGGAGTTGGAGGAGCTGGAAGAGCTTGAACGAGACAAGAAAAATATACCACTTACTACACGTGCCAAATTGGCGATGAAGCATTTCGTTCAAAAGGCTGGTTTCTTAGGAATTTTGGCTTGTGCATCGGTATGTCGCAAAATCGAATTAAAAAACAAATGTTACATCATTTTAACTATAAAGTTCTTTTTCTTATAAAAATTAAATTTGCAGATTCCCAATCCTCTGTTTGACCTTGCTGGCTTGACATGTGGTCATTATCTTATTCCATTTTGGACATTCTTTGGTGCCACATTGATTGGAAAGGCCATCATTAAAATGCATATACAGCAGCTAGCTGTGATAATTGCATTTAATGAAGAATTACTAGATAAAGCAATCAGTTTCTTGGTTTATGTGCCTGTGATTGGTGTTAAGTTCCAAGAACCTCTTAAAAAATATCTAGTTGAGCAAAAACGTAAACTGCACGATAAATCATCAGTTGTAAGTATTTTTATTCATTATACGTGCATTTTTTATGTATCAACAATTTAAAATCACTGTGATTTTACAGGAGGGTTCAACGACTATTTCCTGGCTATTTGATAAATTCGTTATGCTCATGGTTTGTTACTTTTTAGTAACGATTATTCATGCGCTTGCCCGTAATCATCATAGAAGGCGTACAAAGTCATCGACTGATTGACCGTTGTTCAAAATAGATTAATTATTCTTTTGACACTGAAACAAAAAACAAGAGGCATGAGTTACCATGCACTAAAATAACACTTGAAAAGAGTAGTTGTACGGAGTACTCTAATTCTTGCCTCAATGTAATATAAATATATTTAAATCAGGTCCTCCACACAAGCATTTATCAAAAATTCATAAACAATTGTTACACGATCCGCACTATTGTTTGTTTGTTTTAATGTATTTCTGTGAGTGCTTCTTGTGTTTATAGATAATCACGTGCAGTAAAATTTGTTATAGCAAAACATTAAGTTGTATCCCACGTTTTAGTCATGAGACTATTCGTTTTTAATTTTAGCAATATCTTACTTGTGAGTGAGTTACGCAAGCGCAAGCGTTTCTTTATCAAATACTTGGAATTGTCCATTCATTTCAAAATGCGACTTTTTTCGTCGTTTGTGCGAGTTTTTATCAGCCGTGTAATGAGTCTTAGCAAGTTTTGCTCAGATAAAGTCACGTGTTGCGCGGTAGTTAGTTGATTACATTCCAGAATATATATACATAAAAAAAAAAAAAAAAACGCGCGTTAATGTATGTATAAGATTTTTGTTTTGTTTGTGTTGGCTTGGGTAGTAAAAGTCGAAATGAATTGCCATCTTTAAATTTGGTTTTCGTGCAATTTCGTATGTTATTTTTATCATCACACCCTTTTAGGGTTGAATTTGCTGTGAGTGTTTGATAGTTAATTCAATATGTTTAACGATTGTGCGAGTTTGCCAAGTTTGATATTACGATAAAAACATCTGTTCCTTTAGAAAAATTTCTACATATTTGCAAGGATATTTTGTATAAACATTTGTGTAAAATATACCTTTTGTAATGAAATAATTGGTTCTTGATGTATATATTACAACATAAACAAATAATACAAATTTGAAAGATTTCCATGAAAAAGTGTAAAGTGAATAATACATGAAACAATAACTACATTTAAGGAAACCTGCAAAGATGAAGTTTCTATTGGTTCTATCTAAAGTTCTAGTCTTGTTTTATACTAAAATAAAATTAGCAGGGTTTGAAATTCATGCTGTAGATAAGAAATAGTTTTCAAATGTAATAATTTTCTTTCAAAAGTAAAATATAATAGTGCAATGAACAGATTGGTCTGTGAGGAAAATAATTTTTTTATTTGATACTAATTGTGAATAATCTGTGTATTTGTACAAAATAATAATTATTGATGAGTTAGACTGATAACTAAAATGTTTTAGTAATGTATTAAATAAATACTATACGTTTATTCCAACTAAAAAACAATGCCGGTATAGCTATAACTTGTCACTAAAATTTAATTACACCTAATTATAACAGTGTAGTACAAGTAGTGTTTATATGATAATTTTTAAAACTAAGCCAATAAAAAATTATTGCGCTCAACAGCACAGCCTTAAAATAATTGTTACATCTGCTAATATTTTACTCTCAACAATCTCCACTTTTAATAATCATACATGTGCTTTACCATCTTTTTCCTTGGATTGTTGCTTAATCCTGTAATCTGATAATGCAGCCTTAATTGCATCTTCTGCAAGCACTTGAAGAAATAATTATTTTATTAACTTTTTTTTTTCTGTACCTATTTTAATACTGCAATATTCAAACTTACTAGAACAGTGTAGCTTAACAGGTGGAAGACACAATTCTTTGGCAATATCAGTGTTTTTTAGTTGCAGCGCTTCATCAACCTTAAAAAATATTTATCAAAGTGAAATTTATTTAACGAACAAATTAAAAAATTAGATAGTTCAGTTCTCATTTTTTTATAAAGTAAAATAATTTTAATAGCTCAATCACAACTATTCACCGTTTTGCCTTTGACCCACTCGGTTGCAAGTGAGCTAGATGCAATAGCTGAACCGCATCCAAAAGTTTTGAACTTAGCATCTACGATTTTGCCATTGTCATCAACTTTAATCTGCAATTTCATGACATCACCACATGCAGGTGCTCCAACCAGACCTGTACCAACACTTTGGTCATTTTTGTCAAGACTGCCGACGTTTCTTGGGTTATCATAATGATCCAAAACCTAAAAATAACGTTTGGTTAACTGATATTAGTTAAATGCTTGGCAATATTAGCGTGTAAGTAAATCACACCTTACTATTGAGATGTGTATAATAAATATATATGAGCAGAAAAAAATGATCAACAACTATTGTAGTTTCGCAAGACAAAAAATAAAATCTACAACTACTAAGGTATATGTATTTTAAATAAAACTTCTATTGCAAAACAATAAAACATCTGTACATATGAATTACGCATTTCATAATAATCACGTTATTGCACATTGATATGCAATTTTATTACAGATAATTATTAAATTGATTCTTATTGAATGTGAGAGATTCTTCGCAAGGGTTAAAAAAGTAATAATTTACACTGATTTTTAATTTGAAAAACCGAGTCAAACATGGTTAACTTCGTTCGTTTACTTATTAAATGCTAAGCAATCGGACTAAAGCTTGGTCAGAACACTCACTTTCGGATGATAGAAAAGACACGGAGTGCTCGAGAACACGTTTTTCGACACGTCCAGGAGCTTGGGCGGTAGAACTTTCCACAAGGACATTGCAGCTGACTACTGGATAACAAATCACAATAAATTTACCACAAACAATAACTTGAAATAAAAAACCACGGAGTACCGGATGCTACAAATATCTGTCATAAGATTACTTACTTGGGGAACTGACAGGAAATTAATAACGCACGAGACGGGATACGGGATACGAATTGTCGTGTTACCAAATTAATTCGATTAAGATGTTCGGCCGAACACTAAACTCACTACTCACTCACACACTATATTTATACTTTTGAAGGTCGATTTTCGGGTAAAAGATGAATTGTACACTGGCCGCAAATAGTACAAACATTGTCAACTTTATATTTTATGTTTATAAGATTAGTTGCGGCTGGTTTATAACTAATTACATGGCTCTACTACAAGTAGTAATAATTTTTTGGATCAGCGCCATCTAGCGGTCTTTATTTTTTGAACAAAAGTGGCTCCTAAAATTCTAAATCAGAGCATTCAGGATTAGAGCAATTTAGTCAATTATAAACCAGCCGCAACTCATGACAAAGCTATAAAATAAAAAAATAATAATACATGTGTTTTTGACGGCAAGTTAACAATTCATTTTATGCTTAAAAATTTATCTTCAAAAGTACAAACACATAGGAGGTCGATTTTTTGGTAGAAAATAGATTGTTAACTTGCCGCCAAAAACACATGTATCGTTGTTTTTTTATTCTATAGCTTCATCATGAGTTGCGGCTGGTTTATAATAAGCTAAATGGCTTCAAGCGCTAAAGCTCTGGTTCAAAAGTTTAGGGCCACTTTTTAGTTCAAAAATCTTTAACGCTAGATGGCGCTGATCCAAATATCTATTACTTCTTATATTAGAGCCATTTAATTAATTATAAACCAGCCGCAACTAATATTATAAATATAAAATAAAAAATTGACGTCGTGCGTGCTACTTGCGGCAAGTGTACTATTTATCTTGTACCCGAAAATCGGAATACAGCTATACTATTATGTACTGTCTACACTAGACAGTCTACTGTGCGAACGTTTTTTTGCTTCGAGGCCGGGCGTTAATCGTGAATGGCAATGGCGTGATCAGACTTGGTGGCTTCGCTGATCGTTCGTCAAGATTTAACTGATTCAAGAGCGGCTCTTGGCTCTTGTCAGTCTTTTTTTTTAGTTGAAAATAAGATGTATTGGCTCCACAAATAAAGTACCTACAATCTTGTCAGTCTTGTCTCTTGTCAGTCTTGTCGTGTGTTTTCAATCAACGCCATCTAGCGTGCAATTTTTCTCGTCCTCTCGTCGCTCCGAAACCCTACGGACATTTTTTTGTTTTGGGCAAAGAAGAAAAGTACAACTCATATTTCGTTATTTAAAATGATATGGAGCAATCTGAGTTGAACTTTTCTTCGTCCACCGACAAACTTTGGCTATACTCGACGGCCCGGATGAAAAAAAAGTCCGTAGGAGTTACATTTTTTATATTTGTAAACAAACTCCGAAATACCTAGCGGTGATTAAGTCATACATCACCGAAATTTCAAAATTTGTTTATAAATCAACTACCAACCAAGTAAGTACATGTTTATGTTGATCGACGTACACCTTTTGGCTTACCAAATGAACTGAGGTTTGTAGTATTTTAGTTGAATCAATCAAAGATGACAAGTGTGTAAGTAGTAAATATGGCTTTTCAAATGCAATTGGAATCCTTGTTGGGCAATAATACCAAGTACTTGTCAGAGTTGAAACAATCTGTTGCCAGGCCTTTAATACAACGTAAGTGGGATAAGTATTTGTTTCCAAATCAAGAAAAATTGTTTGTTAAATGTTTATTCGATAGTTGCGGTGAAGTCGATTGATCAAGAATATATTGAAGAAGGAGCTCTAGAACTTGTGAGCAAGAATTTCAATGTAGCCCAATCAATGGTTGATGAATGGTATTCAGCTATTTTCAACATTATGAAATTGCATTTGCGTTCTCCTAGTATAAACATCAAGCCACCTGAATTCACGCAATGCTTACAGGAGTTTAAGTAATTAGTTTTTGAAAAGACTACTTTTTTTCTAAAATAATATAAATTTGACGCTTGTTTGTACAAATAATTTTTAGATTCACGCCAGAATGTATTCAAGATATACTTGCAGTTCTTACAGGACCAAAGAGACCTAACTTGCTATTAAACTTTGCAAAAAGAGTCGAATTTTTTCCTCATTTGGTAGCGTGTAAATGGAGAATAGATGTTGTTATTTCTTCAAGGTAAAATTTTATATAAAATAACAAATGAAGGATCGTTGCTTCACAGGAATAACTGAATATAAATATGTCTAGCACCATGTCAAAGGTTGTACAGCCATACATTCTGATGGAGTGGATTTTGAGCAATGGACAAAGTTATGTTTTTGAATTGTCTGTTCAACGATTTCATCAGTTAAAATACGCTATTGAAAAAATACTTCTTCATTTAGATAAGCTTGAAACTTATGCTGTAATTAAAAATGCTAATTCCTAGTCGTTTCTGTTAATCATTAATCTTTTGATAATGATTACTATTTGTACATGTCCACTTTAAAAATAAAAATTTCTTATATTTTTAAACATTAGTCCCTTAATTTCCTGTGAACTATAAATTTGATATTTACTTTTTTTAAATCTTAGCTGAATAAAAATTTTTAAACGTAATGACAAAAAAAATCTGAGTAGCAAAAGTCTCATGGTACATTACACTATTGATAATTGGTATTGTAAGAATTCAAGTATTTTTTCATCTAATTATTGTATTAAAATAAGAATCAATTTAATAAAATAACTTTATTTTGTTCAAACGTTTACATCGTTCTATACAATTTATGCTTAACAACGTTAAATATATCAAAACTTATTGTAAAATTATGTATATACAATTATGTTTCAATACTGTCTATTACTTTCTGAGTCTCAGAAGTCTTTCTATCAATATTTTTCACGTGTTATAATCTTTTTAATATATTTGTTTCCTTTTGACTTCTGTAAATTCTCATATGTAATGCTTTATTTTTTCGACAAGGCTTAGCACTTGTGCTTGGATCTGATTAAAGTAACGTTGTTGTTGTTACTTATAATCAACTATTTATTTTTTTTTTTTTTTTTAACAGCTCGAGTGAAAACACCCAAATCACACATTCCCTAATAAGCAAACGCAACGATCACACTGAAAACTGACCAACAAAAAAAAGTCCCTCTGATGGACTCTCTCGGCGTAAATTGAGCTAGAAAATTTGTTCGTAACTTCATAAGTAGCTCATCTTTTTTTTTAAGAATGATAAATCGTGATACGGCCTTTGCAAAAATATGAATTGATTCATAAGTAGTAGTTCAGATAACGTCTATATGACGCCCAATTCAATTACATTGTATATTCGGCGTTGGGTACCATAAATTATATACTACTTATAACTAGTAAAAATAAAAAAAATTGAAATTACAAAATTACGGTCTAGTCCCCCCGCGAATAGGACTGATATTAAAGTATATATAGGTAATTAGGTATATATAAGTATAACACCGAACGGAACCACCGCAACGCAGCCACGTCACATTGGTGTGCCGTGTTGCCGACGATACAGTCGGTTGCAGCAGCAGCCACCGAGTCCTTTTCCCTTAGTATCGTCCTCTGTTTTTTTTCCTTCATTCGCCTCTCCTCGTGCAAGGGTACATTTTGTTGTTATTGTGTTGTGTACTTACTTCCTGCCTTGCTCTCGTGTGTGCTCTATAAGTATACAAGTTCTTTTTCGCGTCGCGTTTTTTTGATATAATACACAAACACACACGTGGCGGCTCTGGTCATCTCTCTCTTACACTCCCTTGTCGAGGACAACGCATTCGCGGGGTTCGCAGGGTGCAAAAGCAAAGTGGAGGATTTGAGTTAGTTGACGAGAAAAAAAACTCTGGAGCCAATATGAACATCTTCCGACTTTTCGGCGATCTGTCGCACTTGCTCGCCATCATCATTCTGCTGCTCAAAATATGGAAAACGAGGAGCTGTGCCGGTAGGTTTCGTTGCTCGCCTGAGTTTCTTGTCCACCTATCCCCCTTTTCGGAGTCGGGAACTTTATCCTCCTTGGTTAATACCGATAAGTAAACGTCTGTTTTGGATGAATAGTATAGTTGCCAGCTTTTACATTTGCATGCTGGCAAAGATTCTGTGCTGAGCTTTTTTTCGTTGTCGTAGATCTGTGTTGTGATTGTCAACCATGGTCATTTTATATCATGCTATAATGACTTTAATGAAAATTTACTTGCATTTGAGTTAATAATGTACTCGTCGATATGCTCTATTTCAGGCATAAGTGGAAAATCTCAAATCCTGTTTACCATCGTTTACACAACACGATATCTAGATCTGGTGACCACTTATGTTTCTGCATACAACACTATTATGAAGCTAGTTTTCATAGCAGCTGCATATACCACTCTGTTCTTGATGTATATGAAATTCAAGGCCACATATGACCAAAATCATGATACCTTCAGGTATGAGTTTTTTTAATACATACTTTATGATATGAGCTTTTTGTTTAATGTATGATTTAATTTTATGCATTATTGATTAAAAGTTTCAAACTCGTTTGTCAATGTTATCATTGTGCAAATACTAGATACCTTAAATAAAAAAGTCATGACTGATAAGACAAATTTTAATGATTGCAGTGTAGTTGCAACAATTTTTATTATAAAAAAAAAATCAACTGTTCATAAAATTGATAAACAAATTTCATTGAAATAATGGTAGATCTGAATGTTCACAAATAATGAAAGTTAAAAAATGTACTTTTTTACAGGATTGAGTTTTTGATTATACCAGCCATAGTCTTGTCTCTGCTGATAAATCATGACTTTACAGTCTTGGAGGTTTTATGGACCTTTAGTATCTACTTGGAATCGGTCGCTATTCTGCCTCAACTGTTTATGGTGTCAAAGACAGGTGAAGCTGAAAGTATAACCAGTCATTATTTATTTGCTTTAGGATCTTATAGAGGTCTGTACCTGTTGAACTGGGTGTACCGTTACTACGCGGAAAACCATTATGATTTCATTGCTATCATAGCTGGCCTTGTACAGACAGTTCTGTATTGTGATTTCTTTTATTTATACATCACCAAAGTACTAAAGGGCAAAAAGCTGTCGTTGCCAGCTTAAGACTCACGAGTATTATAGAAAATAACATCCAACAACTTCAAATTTTTGTCAAAATGAAGCTATTGCAGGTAATCGCTGTACGATTACTGCGTGAAATATTTTTTAAGAAAAAGATTCGAGCGAGTTTAAACACTGTGCGCACAAAATGTAATTTTGCCAAATCTGAAGCGCTCTAAGACCTCTGCTCATTAAAATCTTCTCGATATTCCTACTTTTATATGGCGAATATTGTAGATTTACTTATCGATACCTTAATTTTAATTATTATTCAGACAATTTTTTGTATGACTGTGCAATTTAGTTTGCAATCGAAACTTTGAGAAAATTGAATTCTTTTTTAATTACGTTTTTAGATTATTGTTTACCACATAAGTATAACAAGTCATACTTTTTTAATGTAACTGATAGTTTCACATAGTTTTACTGTAAATGTTCAATTTTACCATTTTGTCACTAACCCAAAAAAATTGAGGTATCAGTTGAATAATAATAAGAAAACTCCAGTAACATCATACTTAATAAGTAATCGCTCCTTGTGTATAATTTACAGTGTTTATTTTGTGTGAATGTATGTTGATGTAAAACACTTTGAAGTTTCAAAACTTGCGTATACTTAGAGATCGAATTGAAATATTGTCTGTTACTTTATGATTTTTATCAATCAAAATAAAATTATAATAAAATAGATTCATGATTGCAGAAGTCACATTTATTAATTTTTGCCATTTAATTAGCTCATTCACAAAGGTGTGCAATAGTATTTTGCATGGGTATTAAATTTTTATTTATAGTACGAAATGCTACACAAATAAACGAGCTAAGAAACCTACTCGGTAACTTTACATACCACACACAAATCGTACATACGTTTTGCCATGCTAGTTATGTGAACTATTTCCCCACACAATGTTCTTTGACACACTAGTTTGACAAGGCCACTCTTCAAACTCTCACTATCGACAGTTATTATGTATGCTACTTTAAAATGTTCAGGGTTTTTAATGTCATTTACATTCACTGATTCGACACCCTTTTCCCGCAGCAATTCAATAACATACGACGTTAAATAGTTTAAATCTTGTCGCGTTGATTCGTCATCTTCAGGTGCAATGATAGCCTTGCAGTAAGCCTTGTAAGCAACTAATTTTGGATGCATTTGAATTTCTTTTGAGCCTTTGATTTCTATGTATCCATCACACAAGAAAGCTAAACATCCCCAATCCAAGGACACAACCTGTTCAACAATTTTTAGACGCTCACCATTTTCTACCTATAAAAATAAAACAAAAAAATACGAGTCAGTAGAATTTCACAACATTACATAACTTTAGTGTGTAGTTTAATATTTGAAACTCTTTCAACTGACATCCGTTAATTTTTATCCTAATACTCAAAAATAAAATGTCAGATTAGAAGTCTGTTTTGACAGAATTCTCAAAAATACTGAAAAAAATGTAATAAAGATCCAAATAAAAAAATAAACTGTAGTACTTACACCCGGTAACAATTTTTTGGCACTATTTTTAAAATTAATAGTTTCAACAACAATATTTCCAAATGGAAATTGAGCTTGAATTTCGGCATACTCTTTTCCATTTTCTTTTTTCGTCTCGCTCATATAATAAATCGATGGATTTTCTGACATTTGACGCCACCATGATTTGCGTTCTCTTTGTTTAGTGTAAAATAAATCCTTCACACTTAAAATGTCACCCTTACTCTCATACACAGTAGTGATTTTGGCAATCCTGTGTTTACTTGGTTTTGATTTGAGTGGAAAAAAAGATGTATTCCAAGTGTTCGTCACCTCGTCTAACTCAGCAATGCCAAATGGTACTCGATCAGCTCCGATGTCAGTTAAGTCCTTCATGCAGGACCAAAGAGAAGTGGAAGGCATGTGGAAGACATTATACTTGGACATGGTAACGCATTCTTCGAACCACAATTTTTCTAAATTTCTGCGTACGAGCATCCCCTGGATTCCATAGATAAAGCCAAATTCTTTCAAAGTAAGAAAGGTAGGCCCCAGAAATTTCAGAATCTGCTCCATTAGGAATTTTTGGGAATATTGCCAGGCGGTGCAACAAAGTATTCGTCCTCCAGGACCTTGGCGTTCTTCAGTATCTCTTCACGACAATTACCTTCGGTCACCCTGTCTTCTCTAAGTTCCAGTTTTTCATTCTCAAGTACACTATACATTGGCCTGACCGACGGATCCAATCGCACTTCTCTTAGTTTTTGTGCAAAACGTATGGCAGCTTCCAATCTCTGTATACCCCCTTCATTATCGAAATCTACCAAAGAAATTCTTTCCAACTTGGCAATGGTTTTCTTGTCAATTTTAATGTCACCGGTATTTTTTTTAACGTCAAGCTTTTCCTTGGTTACAGGTCTTTTGGAATGGGCGAGAGAAGTTACGCCTCTAGCGTTTTTAAACAATATTTTAAGTAAACCAACACTTGTGCGACATCCAGACAAAATACCCATTTATAATGCTTATGTGCAAGAGATCTCCCGTGCTCAAAGTTTGATTTTTCAGTACGTTCAATTTTCAGAGTACCAATTCGGAGATCTTGGAGCACAAAACGTCACCCACGTGTGGCTTATCACAGGTGCAGTCCGCCTGTCCGCCACAACATGTCAATAAAAAACACATCCGAAACGAAATCGCTGTGTTTAAGTATATAAAGTATAAGTATAGAGTAGCAATTCAGCTCAGCCGAGAGCCACCTTATTAAGGTATATTTTCACTTGTGACGACATTCCAAGATGGCGCGATCACTGGGTTTTTTTTCAAATTTGCACCAAATGTGCAAAACCAGCTGTGAAATTCACGAGGACGTCCCAACTAATGATAATGCGTTTAAAAACTTCAGGTTTTAATAAGCTATCGAATGAACACTAAATTTTTTACATTTTCACTTGGTAAGCAATGCAAAAAAATGAATGAAATTATCGCGGGCATAAAGATGATTAGAAAAACATTTTATTTTTTGTGCTTACCATTTTGAAATACTTATAGTCAATAGCGATTCTTTTTGTCTTTTCATAGATAAAGAAATGATTTCATTTCGTTCCTCTGCACTGTACTTTTGTATTTTTTATTGTCCCGAGAAATTACAGATGGAATACATGCAAATCTATAACTATATAGTTGTATATAAGGTGTATGTGGATATATGTGTACTATTACTATTGCAGTAACATACACACACGCACACATGTATATTAGTATAAATTATTGTTTACCTTTTGTCGATTGTATTATAGTAGAGGCACTACTACTGTAGACACTGCAGTCCTGCAGTAGAGGTCAATAAAATCGAACGCTTTGCGTAGGCGTTATCGTGTCGTGTACTACATATTTTTTGAAGAAACTAGCAACTTTTCCCACGTCATACTTTGTATTTAAGTATCATAAAGTTTGACTTTTAATTACAATTATAAATAGGGTGAAACTAAAATTGTCATTATTTTCAAAGGATTAAATAACTAAAAATGCTAATAAATCACCAGCTAAGGATATTTTTCACCGAGAAATTTGCATGTGTTTTATTGTTAAATAAAAAAGAGTAAATAATAAATAGAGACAGCACAAAATAAATATGTTTATTTTCGAGTTCATGTTCGTTAATATTACCTATGCGCGCTGCAATATTTAGTACACTAATATAGTACAATATACCACCTACGAACTTGCTTACATGAACATTTGGGCATTCGGTGTTTCGAAATCTGTGACGCTTATCGCTCGGGGTAATTAAATGTCAATAAACGTATACTTAACGATCGAAAAATCATGTTTTCCAGCTCCCTTGAGCCTGAAAGCTCGTATACCCACGAATTAACTGCAATCGTGTTAAATAAATTTCAAGCTGTAAATTGTGTCTATAAATTGTTAACCTAAATAATAATAGGTAAAGTTTTTTTAAAATTAAGGTGTGAGTGTAGAACGTTACTAAAAAATCATTACCGCATAAAAGATATTCGAGATCGCATCATCGTCACCGTTGTGTCAATCGTTTGGAAAAATAGTATGATCTGGAACAATTATTTACTTAATAAGTAGTTCATGCTGAGACAAGAGAGCTGTTATCGTCGACAAATAATAGTTGTTATCTCTGACAGAAGGTGAAGAACAATCAAGCTTGACCATGGCCTTGAAGAGAGGTCGCAACAAAAATTTAAAGATCCAGGTGTCTGAAGAAGCACCTGCACCAGTGTATGTTCTTTTATCTCACTGTTATTGGAAATCTTTTGTTTTAAGTGGGTTTATTTATTGTATATTGACATGCATAAGTATACTGAGTAATTGAAAGTTTCTGGATGTAATGTGTTTTGCAGAATTCCTCCAAGAAACTTGGATAAAAGGACAACAATTACCATAGTAGATAAGACTTTTGAGGTTGATGCCGATGATCTGGAAATGCTGTGCAACCTTGGACGGGGAGCTTATGGGGTTGTTGACAAAATGAAACACAAACAAAGTGGCACTATTATGGCTGTCAAAGTAATTATTTTTATACAATCTTCTCATTAAAATCTAGCTACTTTCACACAGACTTTTTGTTGATAGTTATAAGCTTTTAATGATTTATAAATTGTGTTAACTTAGAGGATAACAGTCAGTGTCAATAGTCAAGAACAAAAAAGACTTTTGATGGACTTGGATATTTCGATGCGCAGTTCTGATTGTCCTTATACCGTACAGTTTTACGGTGCTCTTTTTAGAGAAGGCGATGTTTGGATTTGCATGGAAGTCATGGATATGAGTCTCGATAAATTTTATACAAAAGTATATAAACATGGTCGCTCTATTCCTGAAGATGTATTAGGAAAAATAGCTTTTAAAGTCAGTAATATTAAATAACATAATCTGTTAAATATGAGTTTCTAAGACAACTTTAATTTTAATCACGTTGAATTGTAATTTTACAGGTGGTCAGTGCTCTGCACTACTTGTACTCGCAATTAAGAGTCATACACAGAGATGTAAAGCCTAGTAATATATTAATTAATAGACAAGGAGAAGTAAAGATCTGTGATTTTGGAATATCTGGTTATTTAGTTGATTCTGTAGCTAAGACTATTGATGCCGGTTGCAAGCCATATATGGCGGTAATTTATAAATGCAAATACAATATATTAGCTTTAATCATTTTTATGCTTTTCTTACAAGTTTTTCACTTTAGCCAGAAAGAATAGATCCAACAGGGAACCCTTCACAGTATGATATAAGGTCCGATGTTTGGTCTCTAGGAATATCACTTTTAGAATTGGCTACAGGAAAGTTTCCTTACGAGTCGTGGAGAACACCATTTGAACAGTTAAAGCAAGTGGTAAAAGATGACGCCCCAAAGTTACCACCGAATACATTTTCTGCTGAATTTGAGGAACTTATCACCAATTGGTGAGTTTTATGAAAATTAATACTTTCATCCGGTGTTTGTTTAATTCCATTTTATGATGTTTTCTAATGATTTTTACAGCTTGATGAAAGATTACACACGACGGCCTAATTACAATCAATTGCTGGAAATGAATTTTATAACGAAGCACGCTAAAAAAGAAACGAATGTCGCAGCTTTCGTTGAAGAAATCATAGATTTACCGGACGCTGCGAAGTAAATTTTTTCTATCTTTAATTAATTTTTTGAACACTGCCGTAATTACACACCAAACATTTTTGAATCAATGGCCACATGTGAATATTTATGATAAACAAGCATAGCTTTATTAACAAATCCAACCACGTGAGAGATTTATTGATCCCATTAATGCCATAATATATTATACAAAGTCAGAAACCAGTTTTATGTCGTGTAGTACAGATAACACACACACACACAATCCAAGATTTATGTAAAAGCAATTTATATTTAATAAAGGAATATATACATTTTTTATGCTGTTGGTTGTTATTAGGAAAATTACACTAAATTCTACAAAAAAATTAATATCTAAAAGAATCAGTTAAATATAACTTGGGAGGTTTTCCAAACGACACGGTTTGAGCTTTTGGACTTGATGACACAAATTTAAGGTTAAAACCTTGAGGGTGTCTACTTTCGTAAATTATTCGATGTTTTTTTTTCATTTCTGGAATGTGATCTTTGTCTTTAATATAGTTGTCAAAGAAAATTTTTTTTTCGTCACTCTTTTTGATTTGCTTATTTTCGTTCGTTGTTGTTGGAATTTTTATTTTCGATTCCCTAATGTTTTGAACCTTAGAAATCAATAGCGAATCCCGCGGAGGTGCGTCATTGCATAGTTCAATTATTTCTTGCAAACATTTTAAAGATTTTCGAAATTCCTGGCTGGAATCTTTCGTATTCAATATATTGTTCAAACGCATCGATGGATGCTTCGTCAATGTTTTAACTTTCGTTTTAATCTGTTCACTTTTTTTGCTACAATAATCCTCGACTTTCTTGGGATCATTTTGTGGAACCGATTCCGTTGCACCCAAATCCACTTGGGACTCTTGGTCACGAGAAAAAAATTGATCCTCGCCAATGGCCACATCGTGCAAGTGACTGTTGGATCTTTTTTTCATGCTCTTTATTTTTTTCAAAAACTTACGCTCAATTTCTTTTAGAGTAAAAGGTTTTTTTCTTGTCAATTTCAGGGTAACGGGCTTGTTTGTGTTTTTTTTTGCAAAACCGCCGCTCGAATTCACCGATAGCGAATCGATGGAATTCCGATCGAAAATATTATCAATCAGTTCTTCTTCACTGCAAATTTCGTCGTTTTCGTCTTCAATCAGCGACAAGTGCGAATTTCCCTGAATTTGTTGCGAGCGTATCAACTCGGTGGACGAATTCGATATCTCATTTGTTATGTCGCAGTAAAATTTAAAGGGCGACCTGTTATCGTTGAATTCTGGAAGTTCCAGGGCAACCAAAGATTTCTGCACGTTGTCTTGAAAGGAGTATCGTTTCCAGGTGGGTAAGTTCAAGGTTTCCAAAACTTTGTCGTAAATGTTCAACTCTTTGGCCTCGGAACCCTCAAAACTCGACGATTCAACCGCATTCGAGCGGAGACCGGTTTCGAGCAATTTCTGGTTCGCTGCCTCCGGGGACTCGTCCACCAATGCATCGCTACTCGCGCCCGAGGACCAATCGACATTTATCGTTACGAATAAATTGTTATTGCTGAACAGCTCATTCAAACTTATGGAGCCAAGGTTTATTTCCAACTGTTTCGATTCAACTCCTGAATCGTTTTTGCAGAACAAAACGTCAACCAACTTGGGAAACGTGTCAATTTCACATCTCTCGATGCAAGTATTTTTTACTGGAACTATCGCTTTCGATGGTAATTGTGAGTCACGATGATGATTTGCTTAAAAGAATATATAATCATAGTTTGTTATTCTTGTTCATTCAACAGATCTAACGTGAAATGTGTGTGTGTTACCTGCCATTAAAAATTGTACCCAGTCAATGCCTCCGAGAAGCTGTGGTTCTTTAAAAAACAATGTGGCACCCACGGCCAAGGTTTCATCAATTTTGCATTTCGATTTGTTGTGATCATTATCCGTTGCTTGATATTCTTTTTCAATTATTTTCCGCAATGTGCAATTTTCCTCGCACAATTGCTCCAGTATTCCAATTGATTTCAAATTGATCAACAAGATTTTCCGCAATACCGAAAATTCTTCCCCGCCACCACTACCGATGCTGCTGGTTTTTCGAAAATTTTTAGTTTTTCCATTTTTTGAAAAGCTCCTTCGCCTGAGGGAGCTTAATTTCAATACTTTCAAAGTGAGTTTTTTCACACGCTCGTTGTGCTGTTTTATTTTCATCCGAAGCTCATCATCATCATCATCGTCCCAGAACAACAACGGACGACTTGAGCTCTGAAAAATCGTTATTAAGTACACACGGTAACATCAATATTATTTAAAACGAGCGTTTATCATATTGCTTCGGTTTTACCCTACGTTTGAAAGGTTACTTTTGAAATTCCCTGTCACTCCGTCATCTTGGCCGTTTGTTATTTGCCGGGCATCCATTGCACATACTTGGATCTTTCGCGTTTGATTGATGATTTAGCGATTGGTAACGGCGTTTGTGACTCGAGTGAATTCGTTCATCGCGGAAAAGTACAAGAAACTGAAAATTTACGCACTGAGAATTTTTCGATACCTATTTCTTTGTGAGAGCTGCACTGAAATTTTGCACTCTAAACGTACCTACTGGGGAAAAAAAAAAAAAAAAAAAAAACAAAAGCCATACAGACCACTATCACCCAGTGCATGTGTGTGTGTTTTGGTTACTAGTCGTTCAACGGCAAGCAAAAGGAAAATGATGGTAGGAAAATTGTTCAAGTAAAAAAAGAATAACATATTGAGGTTTCCCGAAAAAAACATGGTAAAAAAAGAAGCAGCAACGATGCCGGACACCCCAAAGTTCGACCCTCCGATAAAACCGCGCTACTTACCAGGCGAGGTATAACGACTGATGAAAAAAAAAAAAAAAAAAAAAAAAAAAACCAATGTGTACGCATGTAAACGCAAATCCGAGCGATTTCCCACAAAGCCCGTCAACGCAGGTCCACGCGAAGGCTCGTCAGATGGACTTCAACAGCTACAGGGGCCACCGCTTGCGCTGCGCCAACGCGAAGCCTAAGGTCGACGACAAACCACCGAAGCTCGACGTCGACGTTTACCACAGGCAAGAGCTGATGAACGAGGACTTGAGGACGGCCAGGGTGCTCTGCAAGGCGAATCTGCAAGTAGTCAAGAAGATCAACGCGGTGTCTCGCTTGGGGGTACGTATATGTATATACATGTGACAGTTGGCCGCACAAACAACAACGTATATACACATTATTTTATAGTCCGTGTGGGTTATTGTGCGAGCAGGGAAAAGTCGATTGTTGGAACGTGAAGGACAGGGGCTACAGGACGGATCAGGACCTGCTGAAGCTGGAGTACGAGAAAATCGAACGCGAGAACCGGGCCCTCTGCCGCGCCTTGAATTCGCTGACCAGCCAGTTGGCCCCGCAAGTCATGGCCAAGGAGTGGAAGGAGCTGAAGGAAAGCATCAAGGAAAAATCGAGGTCCTACATATTTTACCTCTTTGTGAGGAAAACATCTTACGATACCGATACCTGCGTGTGCACAGGTTTCCCTGGTTCAAGGAAGTCTCGAGGTACCCGTCGATATCGAGGTACGAGGTCGCGCCCAGCGCCAAGGAGGACGCGAGGCGTCCGAGGTGCTTCTTCGACCTCGAGCTCGCCTCGAGCAGTTTGCCCCTCGGCAGGATCGTCTTCGAGCTCTACGCCGATTTCGCGCCCTCGATATGCGCTAACTTCGAGTCCTTCTGCAGAGGCTTCAACGGCCTTTCGTACAAGTGAGCCACCGAATGATAAAAACTCCTCGCTATACGTATCCCTCATTGTTTTTTTTATTTTTTTTATTTTTTTATTTATTTACTCAGGGGGACTCCGTTTCACCGCATATTGTCCGGTTACTACTGCCAAGGGGGTGACGTGACAAAGTTCAACGGAATCGGCGGAGCCTCGATTTACGAGGACGAGGAAGCTTATCCTTCGTTGGCCGATGAGAATCTTGCTCTTCGTCACGCGTGTCCGGGCGTTCTGTCGACTTTCGCCGGTGACAGGAGCACCGCACTGTTTGACTCCAAATTTAATTTGACCTTTCGGCCCCTCAAAACGATGGACGGGAAGAACGTCGTTTTCGGGAAAATCGTCAAGGGACTGCCGAATCTGTTGAAAGTACGTACAAAATCCACGTTTTTGAGCTTCACATTGTGATTCAACGGCACATGGTTTTGATTTTAAACGAATAAAAATTGATGCTGCTTGCTTATTATTTGTTGTAGGTGAAGGCGTACGGTACAAAGTACGGAAAACCCCTGCAGAGGGTGATCGTCGCCAACTGCGGTGTGTTGCCGTTGAAGAGCTGCAACGAGAGCGCATAAATTTCCATTTCGCTCGTTTGGTTCTGAAAAAAGTACTACGAAGAAAAAATTTACGACAGTAGCAGCTTTTATTGTTGAAAATAAAAGTGTTTTGACGCTGAGAATTGACATTCAACGTGTACATAACGACTTTTTTTTGCCGTTACAAAAACCGCGAAAAGAAGTTTCTCGAAAATTACATAAGACACTTGAGCGGGATCAAGTATAGTTCATAGTGTGAAGCAGTATGCAATAATGGCTGGACAATCATTAGATATGTATTTTTTTTTCATCAATGTATAAGAAGGCCACAATAATTATTGTGGTCTACCTGCACGTACGATAGAATAAATCGCAACTTCAATTGACTCATCAGTTTGTGTACGTGTCATTTATTGGCTGCTTATTTTAAAAATATAAAATTAACTATGCTCACATCTTAAATAATAATTTACATTAGTAATAAAGTAAAAATATATAGGAAGTATAAATATGTAGGAAGTCGATATTCAGGTAGAAGATTTGTAAACTTGCCGCAAACAGCACAGACAATGTCAACTTTTTATCTTTTATCTTTAAAATTAGTTGCGACTGGTTTATACTTAATGATATGGCTCTACTACAAACTATAGTTTATAGTAATCATTATTTGAATCAGCGCCATCTATAGCGTTTCGGATTTCTGAACTAAAAAGTGGCCCTAAAATTCTGAAGGAGAGCTTTAGACATATATTTTAGCCATTTTAGGCCCTATATAGAGCCATTTAATGAATTTTATAAAGCAGCTGCAACTTATGTTATAAATACTGGAGATTTATGGCAGAAGTAAATCACTAGGAGTATATAGATATACTATAGTAGGTCAAAAATTGCAGAAGTGAAGGGTCTATTTGACTGCTTTGAAATACGCAATGTACGGCCCGAGTGATATAGTCACATGTATAATAAAAATACTAAAATTTGCCAAAATGTAATGTCTCGCGTTGGTTCTATTGCGTAAATCGAAGCCCGCAAACAGACCCGAGACCCCCCAAAGCTCGTCGGTCGAATGTCGAAATTACACTTGGATCTAGCGCCGTCTAGTGTTGCAAACCCTGCTGCACCGACGATCGGCACGAGACAAGAGGGACACCTGCAGTTCGACCGAGTCAGCCAACCGTCGGTACAGCAACGATAACATCGGCCCTGCTGTATCGACAGTTGTCTAACGATACCGACAACGAGGTCTACTCGTCTACTGCATGATATATGGAGTATATTAACGACCTACGTAACTTAACTGCTGGCAGCATTTGCGGAATACAGCCTCTGATTTTATCATTCTGGTAAAGAGAGCACAGTGTAAGATATACGTGCAGTTATGTGTAGTAATTATAGTAATCACTACTAAGTAGTGACATATGGTCGATTTTGTCAAACTATATAAGTATCAATACTTTTGGAGGTGAACTTTTGGATAAAAGACAAATTGTAAACTTGCCGCAAACAGTATAAACAAAGTCATTATTTTGTTTTATATCTACAAAATTAGTTGCGGCTGGTTTATAATCATTAAAATGGCTCTAGTGTCTAAGTAGTAATAATTTATTTGATCAGCGCCATCTAGCGCTGCAGATTTCTGAACTAAAAAGTGGCCCTAAACTTTTGAACCAGAGCTTTAGCGCGTAGAGCCATTTAGTCAGTTATAAACCAGCCGCAACTTATTTTGTAGCTATAAAATAAAAAAAACAACGATACATGTGTTTTTGGCGGCAAGTTAACAATCTATTTTCTACCAAAAAATTGACCTCATATGTGTTTGTACTTTTGAAGATAAATTTTCAAGCATAAGATAGATTGGTAACTTGCCGCCAAAAACACACGTATCGTTATTTTTTTATTTTATAGCTTGGTCATGAGTTGCGGCTGGTTTGTAATAGGGTAAGTGTCTCTAAGCGCTAAAGCTCTCCTTGAGAATTCTAGGGCCACTTTTTAGCTCAAAAATCCGCAACGCTAGATGGCGCTGGTCCAATAAATTATTACTATACTGATTATGGTAGTGTCATTTAATTAATTATAAACCAGCCGCAATCAATTTTTTTAGTACAAAATAGAAAGTAAACGTAATTTGTACTATTTGCGGCAAGTTTGTAATTTATCTTTTACCCCAATATCGACTTCCTATATATTTATACTTTTGGGTAAAAGATAAATTGCAAACTTGCCGCAAACAAAACAAATATCATTATCTTTCTATTTTATACAATAAAAATTAATTGCGGCTGGTTTATAATTGATAATATGACACTACTGTAATAAGAGCAATAATTTTTTTGAACAGCGCCATCTAGCGTCGCGGATTTCTGAACTAAAAAGTGGCCCTAAACTTTTGAACCTGAGCTTTAGCGCTTGGAGCCATTTAACTTATTATAAACCAGCCGCAACTTATGATGAAGCTATAGAATAAAAAAACAACGATACGTGTGTTTTTGGCGGCAAGTTAACAATCTATTTTCTACAAAAAATCGACCTCCTATATGTTTATACTTTTAAAGATAAATTTTTAAGCATAAGATAGATTGTTAACTTGCCGCCAAAAACACATGTATTATTATTTTTTAATTTTATAGCTTCGTTATGAGTTGCGGCTGGTTTATAATTGATTAAATTGCTCTAATCCTGAATGCTCTGATTGAGAATTTTAGGAGCCACTTTTGGCCAAAAAATAAAGACCGCTAGATGGCGCTGATCAAATAAATTATTACTACTTAGACACTAGAGCCATTTTAATGATTATAAACCAGCCGCAACTGATTATTAAGATACAAAATAAAAAAGTTTACGTTGTTGGTGCTGTTTGCGGCAAGTTTACTATCTGTCTCTTATCCGAAAGTATAAATATATAGGAGGTCAATGTTCGGTAAAAGATAACTTATAAACCAGCCGCCACTACTTGCATAGATACAAAATAAGAAGTTAACGTGATTTGTGCTGTTTGCGGCAAGTTTACAATTTATCTTTTATCCAAAAGTTTACCTCCAAAAGTATAGATACTTATAACAAAATCGACCATATGTCGCTACTTAGTAGTGATTACTATAATTACTACACATAACTGCACGTATATCTTACACCGTGCTCTCTTTACCAGAATGATAAAATCAGAGGCTGTACTTCGCAAATGCTGCCAGCAGTTAAGTTACGTAGGTCGTGGGTCGTGGTAACGCCGCATGGTCGGGCGGTGCTAGCGTCATATGGTCACTGCAGTTAGTCTGTCGGTGGGTTTCGCATGCGTCAACAAACTCCGAAATATCGGGTGGCATGGGAGTAAAAACAGCAAGAAATGTCTAAGTTTGTTGACATGTGGAACTCATTTCAACCCACCGGGCACCGACAGTTTGACAGTTCGTACAGGTTGTCGCTAGCGCTGCCTGACTATGCGGCGTTACCACGAACCACGACCTTTACTGCTGATAGTGCTGATGGCAGCCATGCAGTTGTCTGCGAGCGTATAAAAATATACAAACAACGTCGAGTGTATATGTATGTTATGTCTTATTGAAAAGAAAAAAAAACAAAAAACATAAAAAATACAGAGAGGAGGAAACATGTCGGTTGCGGGGCTGTGCCTCTTTCATCATCATCGGTGCAGAGCGAAGAGAGAGAGAGAGTTAAATAATGTGAAGAAGAGGACACTCTAGTTTGGAGCGATGACGCGATTGTTCCGTTCCTGCCACAGCTACATCACTTATACAACGCATATTTATACCTGTACTTTGATTTTCACAACGTCTTCGTCGTCGTTAAAGACGTCAGCTGTATATAAGCATGACAAGTAGTGTGGTTTAGTGATTTGCAGAAGAAAAAATCGCTATCTGACAAGTACATTTTCGAGGCTCTCGATTCTGACGATAAAGTGTCATTAATCGTGTCTGCTGCGGTAGTCGTCTCCTGGGCCGGTAATCGGTAAACGTCCAACGGTTCCAGCAATAATGTCAGCCAGCAGCGATTCCGAGGAGTTCTTCGACGCCGAGGACGATACGGTCCAGCGCGCTCCTAGGTGTGTCCATTATATCGCCCAACTATTTTTCCCTTCTCCTCCTCCTTCTCCTCTTCGTGTTCTAATCTGTTGATCTTTGTGTGTGATGTGTCTGCTAATCAAGAGAGTGGTCGACCAAAATTTTGTTTGCCTTAAGTATAATTGCTGTACTTTGCTGTAACTTGATCCATATCTGTGAGATGCCAAAAAGTTTTGTTTATCCCTCACATTGATGGTAATGATTTACTTATTGTTATCGTGCCAACATAATTTTATCAGAACCTCCAATCAATAGATGAATGTCGGTTGAAAAAGTAAAGTTATTTTTGGGCCTTCTGATTGCAAAAAATACTGTTTCGCTGAAATTAAAAAAATCACCTATTGCTGCTATTTTTAACTTTTAGGAGAAACAGGCAGAGAGAATCGCAGAGTACAGAGTCGTTCTCAACTCCAACGGCGAAATTGGATGATCATGTCTTTATTAGGCCGGCTGATCCAAGTGAAAGGGTTCTCGGGGACGACATGGAACAGAAACTGGCTTCTGATAAAACCGTGAGTAATTGCTTGTGTTCTTCGATACATTACACATGTGTAGTAAACTAAAACTTGTATCGTTTTTCTTTTTCCTCAAATGAAGTAAAAAAAGTTTCGCTTGCACTTCATTGACCCACTAAAAAATAAAAAAAATAAAAAGTTTGCCATGATATTGAGAGTAAATCGAGAATACTATTGAAAAATTCGTAGGAAGAAGAAGCCAAAGGAGTTGGCTCAGATAAAGTAGTCGGCAGACGAAAATTCCGCGAGCTGCGACAGCGCATGCAGACAGAGGACGACGACATTCCCATAAATAGCTCGCCTCCGGACAGTCAAGCCTCGTCCATCGAAGGTGTTTTTCCAACACCCTCAAAAACTTCTCATCCCTTCAGAATCATCGAGCACGATACGCTGAGCTTGCAGAGCATGACTTCTCTAGGTAGGGTTGGGCGTATCCTAGCTGGTTCTCAAGACAGTACGACGCAGGTCCTAGCCCCAGGTGTTCTGCCATCTGTCCCGTCAACCAGCGTTTTGCCAAAGGAAGTTCAGATGTCGGCGATACACAGTGTCTCGAGCAAAGACGAGGACACTGCTTCGGATAAACTATCCCAGTCATCCAGTGTCATGACTCTGTCGGGTGAAGTTGTTCAGAGAGAACCGTCGTTGAACGGCAAGTCTGACCAATCATCTTCTTCTCAATGTGATAAGAACCCGAGTCTCCAAGAGCCAGACGTCATTGCCAGTACAAAGCCAAATGGCAAAACGAATGAAGCTCAAGCCGGCAAGCCCGTTGCGCCCCCTCGACGTAAGAAAAAGTCTAAAGCTCCAACACCAAACGACTTGGTTGTAAGTTGTTTCATTAGTTTTGTTGATTTTATGATTTTGGAACTTTTAAGACACAGATTTATTACGTTCTTACAGCCAATAAATAAAGAGGTTGCCAAGTCCACGTCGTCGTTACCTAGTCCAGCTAGTACCATTGAATCTATAACCAGAGAGTTTGAGCATTCTCTTGACATAAGATCTGCCACTAAGGGGCAATATGTTGTTAAACCTCAGGTAAGACTTTATTCGTGTGAAAATTAATTTTAAGCTGGAAAACTTTATTTTTATAAAATACATTTTTCGACAGGACGAAGACAAGGTAAAAGCTGAAGGTCCGTCATCGGAAGAACTTGAGAGGCTAGCAAAGATGAAAGCTGAATTGATGAGTGTGAACTCTAGCGAAAAATCTAGCAGTCCATTTAGCTCGATATCGAGTAACAGTATGGGTCGCCATTCCTTGGGACCTCAACACAAAATAGGATTCCATTTGCAGGGAACCAGAGAACGACGAAAATCTGCTGGTGATCAAGACTTGGTTCAACAATTGAATATGTTTGTCAGAACGAGGACGGATTCCGGCAAGCGGCTAACAGACATGGTGCTTATCATTGCACAAGCTAGATATTGATTGATCATTTGTTTTCAAGTTCATTAACGTTTGATTTTTCTGATCACAGGAAATTCTCGAACAAGTGACGGTTTTGAACTTGGACACGGGTGAGCGCGTGCCTCTGAGTATAGCCGAGGACAAACTTCCCCAGTGTATAAATCCTCTGTCTTTGCACATAATGCGATTGACGTCCGAGTACATAAGTAACTCAAGCCTTGATAAAGAAAAAGAGAGCGACGAGGAAAGCGTTGACAGTAAAATGTCGAGTATACCGCCCGACGGTGAAGTTGCGAGCGTCGGTCGCGTGCGAAAACGCACGCAAAAGCTTAAACGTTTCTTCGGCTCGACAGTCAAGAAAACCATGGACAAGGCAAAATCAATAGCTCAGGAGGTGTCACATGCACGCCATAAAGAGGACGTGGTGGACATCGTTGACGAGGTACTTGATCCGCAGCCAATATTATTTACTTATAAATTTAAGGTAAGGTATGGTTTCTAATGGGTTTTTTTATACAACCGCAGGTGTATCCGGGTGAGCAGCAGTGCATCAAACTGAAAGCCTCAAACAGCCACAAGGGCCCATATGAATTTTACTGCCTGCAACACGTGCAGGATCTGAGCGGTGAGCACGTGGGTCCTGTCTGGTGTATGAAATTTTCGGCGTGTGGCCGACTACTCGCTACCGCTGGTCAAGATCGCGTTCTCAGGGTGTGGGTGTTGCGCGACGCCTATGCCTTCTTTCAAGACATGCGTACCAAATATAACGCGGAGAAAGTAAGCCCAACTCCGTCCCAAGAGTCTCTCGTGTCCCAGCAATCGATGGAAGATCCGCACGCCATGGCCAACGCGATGGGTGAGGCTGATAATAGCAAGGGTCCATTTATGCCTAAGCCTTTTTGCACGTATACTGGACACACGTCTGATTTGCTAGACGTATCCTGGTCCAAGAATTATTTTGTACTGTCGTCATCTATGGATAAGACGGTAAATAACTCTCGAGTTTCTTCTGTACTTACGTAATAAATCAAATCTCATGATTCGTGATTTTTTTTTTTCATCATCACAGGTAAGATTGTGGCATATCTCGCGGAAAGAGTGCCTGTGCTGTTTTCAGCACATCGATTTTGTCACAGCCATAGTTTTTCACCCAAAGGATGACCGCTATTTCCTCTCGGGTTCGCTAGATGGTAAACTTCGTTTGTGGAACATACCCGACAAAAAGGTAGCCGTGTGGACCGAGATTGACGGACAAACCAAACTCATCACGGCTGCAAATTTCTGTCAAAATGGTAAATTCGCAGTTGTTGGATCGTACGACGGTAGATGCATATTTTACAACACGGACCAGCTCAAGTACCACACGCAAATAGACGTGCGTTCCTCGAGGGGGAAAAATTCCACGGGACGCAAGATAAGCGGTATTGAGCCCATGCCAGGGGAAGACAAAATTCTCGTCACGTCGAACGACAGTCGTATCAGGTGAGTTGGAGGATAAAGTCATCAAGTTGGTCTAGTTCTTTTTTACTCGATGCGGCGTTTACACGAGGACCTTGTTAATTCCGTAGGTTGTACGATCTGAGAGACTTGAATCTCTCGTGTAAATACAAGGGTTACGTAAACGTAAGCAGTCAGATCAAGGCAAGCTTTAGCCCGGATGGCCAGTACATTGTGAGTGGCTCTGAGAACCAGTGCATCTACATCTGGAAGACGCACCACGACTACTCAAAGTTCTCGAGCGTTCGCCGTGACCGCAATGACTTTTGGGAGGGTATCAAGGCCCACAACGCTTTGGTTACCTGTGCGGTCTTTGCCCCCCATCCGGAGAGCATAATTCGACAGATCGAGGCGCGCGAGGTAGAACTCGAGGGCAAGAACGCAGAGGCGGGCAAAGAGCCGGACAGTGTGAGCACCGACGCTACCCCTGTCGATCCGGTCGTTGAACAGCGCACCAAGGGCTGTGGTGGACAGGTATTGGTCAGCGCCGACTTTAATGGCTGCATCAAGGTTTTCCTGAACAAGACTAAGCCGAAGCACAGTTCGTTGCCAGCCTCGGCACTCGCCTGAGCCGATCTTCAGTTGTCTCGTCGAGGCGAAGCTTCTGCAATCTGCCTGTTCAGAGACAAAAGGCGCGCGTTACTTGGATCTGAACATATTCGGGCTCACTGGATCAACGCGTTTTTAAGATTAAAAAAGCCGAGAAGCGACAACTGCTGAATGAGAAAAACGATTATCCGATGCTCAAATTATATCGATTTTACGGTTCGTATTGCAACTACTTTATTTATTCGTCTTTCAAAATCAATCTCCGTTATTCCGTTTATCTTACAAAATTCACGTTCGTTGATAATACTGCATCAGCAAGAGTAAATAATGATTACATACTGTTAAGCGGCATTTTTTTCCCTCATTTTTTAAACCGCTTTAAGATCATTCATTGGGATAAATTTGACGTTTTTAAGGAATACAATAATTATGAATAATTTGGAACCCCGAAACAATTTTCTGAAAAACAATTGAAATTAGATATCTGGTTAAAAAATTGTAGCATTTAAATAATGTGAATTAATTAAAAAATTAATTCACATTAGAAAAATATTTTTACATATAAAATANACATTCGACCCGCGAGGGTATTCTCATTTTTTGTTTGTTTGTTTGTCCTTAAGATAATAGGCATATGCTTAAACATTTTTATTCAAGCAGAGGGATGGGGCTTACTTTTCGACCGTTACTCTCAAGAGTGGTAAGGATCGATTAATTTTCTTATTAAAGCTTCATTTTGAAATGCTTAAAAATATTAATAACTCCTTAGCTACGGAATTACTAATCGCGTCTACCAACTTGATAATATATTGCAAAATCAATTTTTCTAACAATTAACCTTTAAATCTATAGGCTCAGTAAGCAACTTTTTATGAAAGTATCTGAAATTGCAATAATTATTAAAGATGAATTAGCTTTGAATGATATGGAATTCAAAGTGATATTCTTCTTGAGTATAGCCGAGGACAAACTTCCCCAGTGTATAAATCCTCTGTCTTTGCACATAATGCGATTGACGTCCGAGTACATAAGTAACTCAAGCCTTGATAAAGAAANATCTATTGGCTTACATTCGACCCGCGAGGGTATTCTCATTTTTTGTTTGTTTGTTTGTCCTTAAGATAATAGGCATATGCTTAAACATTTTTATTCAAGCAGAGGGATGGGGCTTACTTTTCGACCGTTACTCTCAAGAGTATATAAATTTTTTATATCTTACAATTTGTTTATAAATATTATTTCTATGCTGAATTTTAGAAAATTTCATAAAATTTTGAACTGAAAGATACAAAAGAACTGAAAATATCTTGAAGAATCAATTATTTTGTGATTAATAACGAAAAATATGATAAGATACCTATAACGAAATTCCCCTGTATTATGATTGTAGAGATTGACGACGGCCCTCTTGTTACGAATAATGTACGATAACTTAAGGTTGCATAAAATGAACAAGAAAATTTGTATTTAATAGAATGCGCTAAATCTTGGTAGGCTAAATAAATACGAAAGAAAAATTAATTTCATTAAAACTAAATGCATCCTCGATAGTTTGAGTTCTGAAGCTTTTTTTGAAAGATAATAAAAAATATTGAAGATTATCTATCATACTTGAAAAAATACAGTCGAAATATACACGAAGTGTGTATCACAAGTATATATGTAAATATGCAAGAAATAAATGGATATAAATGTTAAGGAAAAAAAAAAAGGATAGAGTAAATGGAAAAAGAAACTATTGTACATATGATTCTTGACGGTAAATATTGCGACGAAAGTACGTTTTGGAGGGGTTCGTAAAATATTGCCATTGTGTGGCTGTCATGCACAAATCAATTTGTTTGTTGCCTCGTTTGTAAACCACTATTGTCTGTTATTATGCATAATTTTAAGTCATCCAAGGATTTCACGCGTTATTTTAATCAACCACAAAAGTTTTTATTGTTGGGTTTTATGTTATACATGTATAATCAATGCGATTTTGTAGAATACATTTTTTTCTAGAGTTTCATCTTTCCAGTATCCCGATGTAATTTCCAAGTTTATTTGTATAAAGGAAGGAGGGAAAAAATGAAAATAGTATTGAATTTGTTGAGAACTGAGAATGAAATTAAAATTAAGTATTAAGTATAAATAAAGAAGACGATGTATACTTTTAACAATGCCTACCTTCATTCATATTATATCCAGCGGATGATCATTTCCTTTTAATTTTACAGTCAACGTCCCGTGATTGTATGAATACGTAAAAATAATTATCAACAGGAGCCATTCAAAAAAACCACCCGTAAAGCAATAAGAATCACTTGTTTTAAACTTAGTTACAAAACGAATGAAACGCCAAAGCAACATCATCGGGATCTCCTTGGATTCTCACTGTTTACGGCCACCGTATCAGGACCCTAAACGTAAATGTCCTGTAACCCATGGTGTGGAAAAATTATTCTCCGACGTCCCATGTAAAAGCGCACTTTTGACGCACACGCACCTACACACACAGTGCAGATATTATATATACGTGCACAAAGGGGGGACAAAAAATCATTAAATTACACAGCTGCGTCAGCCCGCGCGTGTACATGCATGTGGGCTCTCCATCAGACAGTTGGTCGTCGCCCTCGACGTTTTCTCTCGACGGCATGTGCTGCCAGTATGTGCCAGACACACTTCCCCCTCGCGTCTTTTCATCCTTGCATTTACGTACATTTTTATCCTCAAATCGTTTTGTCTTAGCTTTTAAATGCTTCGTATTTTACACACAACGCTATACGTCTTGCATTTTGTTTGGTTTAATCGCTCGAGGGTTCGTTAATTTGGCCAATGGTGCGTTGTCCGATAAACATCACCGGTAACAATAATGACAGTGAGTTGTCAGTCAAGCCGACGAGCAGTGGCGAATCGATTGTGCAGTGGCAATTTTACTTTCGAGCCGTGGGCTCCGGCGAAATTTTAGGGCGATCACTTCATTGAGCTTCCCACGAGGTCCAGAGACACTTTATTACTCCAAACGAGAGGGGTGTATGTGGGTGTTTTTTTTTGTCTATTCGGATAAATTAATAGCTGATGGATCCATTGAACTTTTATCTCGCAGCGACATCTCACGCTGTGCATTTGCCTTGGTTGCGCAATCAAACGATGATTTGTATACCAGAGTCATGCGTGACGTTGATCGAGAAAAATCGCATTGGAAATAAATCTATGTAACTGCGTTGGAAAAACCCCTCGTCTCCGCTCGTCAATAATGAACGAGCTCGCGACCGACGGTGCGCGTCGCGGTGAAAAATCTTCATGTCGCAACACACACCTGCCCAATAAAAAATATTCCTTATCAACGCGCCGATAACGCGGTAACAGCTCAACTTGTCCCTGGTATTTTTACATCAAGCTCTAATGGGCTTTAAGTATATCGCGCGTCATCGCTCGAGTGTCAATGAACGATAAATCCCCGCTTGCGGACGTATTATTCTCGCTCGCGCGCACCGCCGGGAAACACTTGTAATCATCTGCAGCTCAATTGCAAAGAACATACGTGCGTGTGTAAGCTGTACCTATTCTGTGTCTGGTAGCTGTTAAATAAGTGCGCGAATCTTCGGGAAGTGCAGTCACAGTCAGCCGATCTCACGTAGCGTGTGTACGATCGGTAAGAAATCGGCACTTATCGGGGGACCGTTTGACTGTAGAAAAAAAAAAAGATGGACGAGGTACTCAGTCCTGGACAGCAGATCAAAGCCACTCTCGAGATCGGGGAAGTGCTCGAGCTGTTGAAAACGCACTACGGTATTGACACCCAAACCGTCGTCGAGCTCGATGCCTACGACGATCGTAATTACCGGGTCGAGCTGACGTCCGTGTCGGTGGCTGACAATCCGTACATCCTTGACAAGGTGCCCAAGCACGGCTACATCTTGAAGATCATCAACAGCCTGGACTCGAAGGACACCCAGTTTTACGAGGCCCAGTCCGAGCTGCTCGTGTTTCTTGAGGAAAAGGGTATTGTCTGTCCCATACCGGTCAAGCAGAGGGATGGGGCTTACTTTTCGACCGTTACTCTCAAGAGTGGTAAGGATCGATTAATTTTCTTTTTTATTTACGTGTACATACAATAGTTTTCCTACGGAGATCGGTATGGTGTTTTTTGAGATCGCTGTGATTAGACCGATTTATTTACCGATCACTATCGCCGAGGTTCGATTGAAGCACATTCTTTTCTTAGCAATCTGTTGCAATTAAATAATATGTTCTTATGTGCTGTGTGCATGAGAACGTATATATATATATATATATATATATATATATATTATTTAGCTGTCGAGCAGTTGACTTTGTAATATTTACCTTTTTGACAACGTATAGGCAAACAAAAACAACGCGTACATATTTATACGTATATTTCTTGGAAAAGAAAACTTTAACATGAAATAAATGTAAATTTGTGAAATGATATAGCTCATGGACGTACGAAAGAGAAGAATATCTTGAGAATCGGTATTATTTTCCTTTATATTATGCTATTTATATGTATCTATCTGTATTGTTTTTGCGAAAACGTAGTGCTTTTACGATGAAAAATCAAATTTTGCCCAGAAATCGGAAAAACGTAAACGGCCTCGAGACCGTAACTTCAATACGAACAAAGAAACAATTTTATCAAGTAAAGGCGTGCGATAAAATTTCAATGTCACCGATCGGTGCTATAAAAGACCAATTGCTCCGCAGGCAAGAGTCACCTGTTGCGGCTGCTCATCTTCCAGCCGGGCGAGATCCTGGGCAATTTGGCTCACGTGTCGGCAGCTCTACTGTCCAACCTGGGGAGTTTCGCGGCCACCCTGAACCTCACCCTGCAGGGCTTCTCGCACCCGGGCTACGCCAACCGCACCTCGCTCTGGATCCTGCAGGCGGTGACGAGGCTCCGGCGGTTCGTCTCCGCCCTGAAGAGCGACTCGGAGCGCGAGCTCGTCGAGAGCATCGTCCGGGAGTTCGAGGCCCGAGTGCTGCCCGTCCACGAGAGCCTCGACCGAGGCATCATTCACGGTGACCTCAACGAGAGCAACGTCCTCGTCGGGGACTCCAAGGCGGAGATCTCCGGGGTGATAGACTTTGGCGACTCGCACGTCAACTGCTACGTGTTCGAGTTGGCGGTATGTCTCTGCTACATGATCACCAAGGCCAACGACCTCGGGATGGCCAGGCACGTCATCGACGGGTACAAGAGCGTGCGGCCGCTCACGGCCGGCGAGCGGGAGATCCTCAAGGTGTGCGTGTGCGCGAGGTTCGCCCAGAGCTTGACCCTGGGCGCGTACTCGCACTCGCGGGAGCCGGGCAACCTCTACCTGGTGCGGGACGCCGATGACAAGTGGGCGCTGCTCAGGAAACTCTGGAAGACGAGGGAGTCCAGGATCAGGAGCCTTTGGGGGATCGATGGCGACGAGTGATCAATGCTACGCAGTGCCTTACTGATTTCTCGGTGAGAGAATCTCGGTACACATTGTTGCAAGTGCATACAGCCGTGTTGATTCAACCGCGGATCCTAAATGTGTACAAAGCGTTGAACGGTGCTTTGATTGTTGGTGTTGTTGTTGTTATACCTGGGCAAACACTTCTTCCTACCTTATCTACATCGTTGTGTACAAAAATACAATTTACGTAGAGCGCACCATTGATGCCCCATTTTTACGAATAAAATAGAAGATCTTATTACCATTTTTTTTCTCCATTAATCGTTCTGAAAATCATAAATATTTTATGTACAAAAGGAGTTTTGGTTGGTGAATGAACAATGAGTGACAAGTATTGTAATTTCAAGTTAATATTTTTATATATATATATATATTTTTTTTTTGTTCGATAACACACATATATACATTTCACCGGTATATATATGCACAAAAACCAGGCAGTCCCGTATTTACATAAATTGTGATAAAACAGTAATAAGGATCGGTTCTTTTCTTTTTAGCTCTCAATTACTTTATTGGTTGATGAGTGGGAGTCATATGTACAAAAGAACTTTGCGAATTACCTTGCAATTAAATTATAAAAGTAGAACAAATCGTACCATTTCACAAATTTTATACTATATTTCTTTCGAATGATAACCGCTTTATTTATTTATTTCGTACATATATTGATGCTTTACTTTGATTTTTTATTTCTTATTTAACAACTCGAGAATAAATAACGCAGTCAAAATAAAATATTCTACTTATATTAAATTCGAGGGTATTAAATTAAAAAAGATCTATCTATTTTTTTTTTTTTTTTTTTTTTTTTTTTTTTTTTTTTTTTTTTTTTTTTTTTTTTTTTTTTTTTTTTTTTTTTTTTTTTTTTTTTNTTATAATATTTCGGCTCAACCCCTCGCATATCACATACGCCTTCGTCCTCCAAACAAGAGCCGAATCGCATGATCAAAGTCCAAAAGCCGTAAACACACATGCACTGTTCTCGTCTAAAGCCAAAGGTAATCCTGGTGACACGGGTCAAGGGACTATATATGCACACCCACCCACGTATCCAAAACTTATTTATTTCTCTCTCGCACTGTCCTCTCGTCCAAAGTTGCGGCTACAAGCCCACGAGTATATTTCGGCGTTTACTCTCTTGGCTGCATTACCTCTCACAATATTTGCCCAAGCGTCACGACAGAAAGCCGACGGGCCTGGTCAAGCGGCTCTCTTTCTCTAGGCTCATACGTTAGTTTGACGTATATACGTGAGTGTACACACGAGGGTTCTCAAATGAATTGGCCCACGAGTTGTGGGAGAACATATGGTATAGACTTTTCGCAGTCGTAATTTCAGTCGCATTTTTTTACGACTGTTTGCTGCGTTTAGATAAAAAGGAACCCGAAAAATTTTTTTAAATTGAGACTTGTAGTCTTTACAATCATTATCTTATCTATGTCTAATTAAAGTGTACTGTGATTCCAATATTTGCAGGAAACGTTTTATAACGGAAAAAGTTTAACAAGAACGTGTTGCTATCTTACCTTAAATGGGCTAATTATGGATGTTTCCATTTTTTCAATTTAACTGTCACGGGTGTTAAATTTGAAAGAAGTTTTTACAACTTACTTTTAGGTAACTAACAGTAAATGCGGTTATTCCAGTAGAAATTAGACTTTGGGATTTCCTTTTTTTTTTTTTTAATTTTTCGTTTACATTGTTTTTCTACAAACCCATCATCGCTTAGTCATCGTCTTCTTGAGGCAAATTGTATGTTGACGACAGCAGTTCAACAAATAAATCATCAACTTGTTTGATCGATCGATCCTTTTTCTTTCATTCTCTCGATAAACAACTTACAGCGGAGTGACGACGAATTTTCGTTTCATTTTCTTTTTTTAACAAAATATCATCCTCGATATCATCTTACAATGTCACCTATTTCTATATATATAATGTTCTTTTTTTCGTTTATTGCTTAAAATCTATTGGCTTACATTCGACCCGCGAGGGTATTCTCATTTTTTGTTTGTTTGTTTGTCCTTAAGATAATAGGCATATGCTTAAACATTTTTATTTATATATTTATATTACTTTGCGTAGCCCACGTCGCTCGAGTGGTACTATTTTTCGTTCTCTTAATCTTAATTTCGCTCCTTCATGATTTTCCTCGCTTTGCTGTATAGTTTAAAAAGAAAGCAGTGAGTAGGGAGTAAGTATAAGTTTATATTCGTATGGTAGGTAGATGCTTATATAGCGTATAGTCAGTAGGAGTAGGAGTAGGAGAAAGGAAACATCGGAAAATTTGTCTTTGGATACATCGAGCGATTATTCATTTGCAATTTGCGCGGTCGACTGTGTCATAACTATTGAATATTTTTTTGTTGATGCTTTTGATATTTTATATTTTTCATCTCTCGATGGGATGTGTGGTATTTTATTAAATGAAGTACGGCAAAGTTTCAGTCTTGAACGGTTAGTTGTTTTGTTTTTTCTTCGCAACAACAGTGGGAAATGTATTTATGTCCTCAACAAAACGAGCCGAAATTTCGATAAACTCTCAAACACGTTGATCCAAAAAAGCAATATAGGTACGGAAAATCCAAGTAGGCATTTATTTCACCCGATGTATTGAAAAATGAAACGCAACGCGACATGGTAACAGTTACAAATCGCTCATAGCTTTTTCCACTCATTGACTCTGACGATACAATTATATTATAATATATTGTATATTATTTAAAATTGGGGTCAATCAACGAAATTTTTTTCTCCGGGATAAGACGCGAACAACTTTCAATTCATCATCCTCATGGGCTAGTTAAGAGGGTGGGGAGAGTAAACGACGCGCTTCCCGCCCAGATGATGTACTCAATGAGCCTCGTTGATCTGTTTAAAACGTAGTAAGTATAGGTATATTGGTGCATCTCGCAAGCTCTTGTAACATACATCCTATAATAATAATAATAATAATACATGTTTATGTTGACCTCGACAGTTGTGGTGGTTTTCGACTGTTTGGATCGAGTTACGTGCGCCGCAGGTGCTTAAAGTACGCGAGTCTCGTGGCGTGCCTCCTACTTCTGTTGTGAGCCGCGAGCTTGCAAGTTTCGCAGCACTGCTTTCCATAGAACGGCATGCGGCAGATGCTCATCTGCTTAACTCGTCTGCACAGCGGCGAGTGGTCCTTGCAATCTTCTGAAAGGAATATTTTCGCAAACGCATGAAAACAAAAAAAATCGAAGGATCCTCGCGATCGGTAGTCGAGGGTCGAGCTTACCCGAAGTCTTGTGGCAGGGCGGTCCTCGGCAGGTCTTCATGACCGGCGGTCGGGGTATGTCCCTGCAGGCGTTACCGGCCGGCTTCTTCGTGCCGTACCAGACGCACTGTATCATGCGGTATTTGATCCCGTCCTTTTCGCAAGGAGCGTCGCACTACGTGACACACAGATCGTATTTATGCATTATGTCCCAAACGATTGCCGCACAACCCAAACAAGCGCGTATAATGTATATACTCACGTCTGACCATTCGTTGACCCTCCAGACCCCTTTGCAGGCGTCGTTGTAGCACTCTCGCCTCTGGGGCGGCCTCACCGCCTCGTCGCACTTGCTCGGGTCGGTCACCGTCACGTTCTCCGACTTGTCCTCCGACTCCTCGACCAACCGGCAGCTGATCTCTCTCCTCTGCATCGCTGAAACGGCACAATAAATTTTCATGTATTTTATTCATCGGCATCATCATCATCAACGGTGATTACCCGTCTTCCAAGTGAAGCATCTCGAGGACTCGCAGGACGACCACTCGCCGGCGTTCCACTGTGGGCATCTCCCGCCACCGCAGGGCCGCACCTTCTCTGGCATCGGGTAGCCCGCGTCCTCGCACAGGGACGCCCCTATGACGGTCCTAGGCGCAACCTTCGTCTCGCTCGAGTCGTTCTTCGCCGAACGCACCGTACACTGGGCACCTCGCATCTGCTCGACAGTAATAGTACAACGGGTTAAACACGCCGCACAATTTTTTTTTCTTTTTTTTTTCTTTTTTAACACGCGGTAAATTGAACATCGAAAATCACCTGGAAGCCGCCGCCTCCGCAGGTCTGGGAGCACCTCGACCAGTCCGTCGTCACCCACTCGAACACCAAATCGTCCTTTGCTGTAAGAGAAATTAATATTGAAATTAAATCACTGATTTTTCAAAGCGATGAATCAATTATACCTTTGCCGTAAGCACCGACCGAGCCGATAGTGGGCTCGTGATTCTCGTTCTCGTTGCTTAAAACGAGCGGAGCCACGGTGCTCTTGCCAGGCTCCGTGTGAGCCGGGGTCGTCGTACTCGTCGTGGATTCAGCCTCGGTGACGGCGACGTTCCTCATCATTTCCCTGCCCAACTTGCCCCCAGGTGCCTCGGTCTCCTCCTCTTCCTCCCCCTCCTCCTCCGTGGACTCGGAAACCTGAGCCTCGAGTGCCGCAGTTGTCGTCATTGCGACCGACATCGTCTCGCTAGCGACGTCGCCGATCGAGGTGCCATTGGCCTCGAGTTTTTGCAGCTCGTCCTCTGCCATCGACTCCGAAGACACGTACGGGGACTGCGAGGGGTCGGTTGCCACCTCGTCGTCCCGGCTCGTTCCGCGCTGGTTCCTGCCCTGCGCGTGGCGCGACGATGACTCGGTGCTGCCGTGGTGGTGGCGCGTGCGGGTCGGCTGGCTGGGGCCGTCGAAGCTCACCATCGTCACTGTGGGAGCGTCGCGGTGGCCTCGCTCCTCCTTCTCCTCCCTGTGCTCAATCTCGAAGACCGTCTCGTCCGCATCGAAGCTGTCGTCGTCTATGAAGATCCGCTCCTCGTCCGGGCCGAAGGTGTTGTCCGGTATGACCGTGTTGCCCCGGAGGAAGCCAAACTGACCCCCCGACTCGCCGTTGTTCTCGGGTATCGTGGCCGGCAGCGTCGCTCGGCTCTCGTGGTACCCACCAGTGGCTGCGTGCCGGTAACTCGGACTCGGCTGATCTCGGGGCGACCAGTAACTCTGCGGATCATCACGGGATTTTCATACACATTTACAGGTATTTTCGTACATTTTGTCGGCGATTCGCAGAGGCAATAAGGGTTAGACATGGGCAAAGAGCCGCACCTTGATGGTCGTCACGAGCTGGCTGAGGTGAGGCACGAGGGTGGACGCGCCGGACGGGACGGAAGACTCGACGGGCTTTGTTATGCCGCGCCCCGGTTAATCCACCACCACGGGGCATTGTTAGTCGGTTATCGCAAGAGTCGAGGGATTGGGAGCGAGATGAAGAAAGAAGAAAGAAAGCACAGTTAGTCTAGCTATTAATATTTGCGTACATATACTTTTTTTAGAGAAAATTCAGAGACAGTAGCCGGGGAAAAAAAAAGGGAGGTGATTGCGTTGGGTGGCGTACCTGGTGCAGGGGCGTCACAGAGTAGTCGTATTTGCCGGTCGAGTCCGAGGGCGACGGGCTAGCCGTTTGCTTTTGCTTTTTGCGCTTCTGCGGCTTTTCCGTCGTGCTTGCCCACCCGTTCGACCTCTGCTGGTTCTCTTGGCTCGACTCCTCGCCGTAGATGCCGTAGTACGGCTCTGCGGTTGTTTGATTAATGGTTTTTTTTTTTTTTTTTTTTTTTTAATCCATTAGTATTATTATTATTATTTTCTTTCACGGACTGAAAATTGTGTTGTTGAGTGGGNCTGATTATGGATATCATAGCTGTGTCTCCATGCACAGATTTCTTGGGATTAATTGTTGCGCGATCCATTCGATCAAGGGGGCGGGGGGATTAGTAAATCATTCAAGGAAAAAAAATCGTAGAAATCAAATTAATTCTTTGGAAAAACAAAAGACAGCTCTGCGGTTGTTTGATTAATGGTTTTTTTTTTTTTTTTTTTTTTTAATCCATTAGTATTATTATTATTATTTTCTTTCACGGACTGAAAATTGTGTTGTTGAGTGGGGCATCTACAATCGGTTACTGATTGTTCAGTCATTCGATTCACCGCACGCACGAGCAAGTATAGCTGATTGTAGCCGATCGACAACTTTAAAACCAACCGTAGAGATGATTTACGTTGTTTTTGAATAATTTTGCAAAAGTTGGAACGAACCGTTGGAAAAACTTTTGCAGACTTGGCTGTTAAACCCAACGTTTTGGGTTGTCGCTTACCTGCGAGCCTGCGCTCAAGAAATTTAACGCCGAAAAAACCTGGTGACGCGTGGCACTCGCGTACACTGAAATATCGATTCAACAGCGGTACATATACATATACTCGGACTCTCCTGAATTTATAATGAAAATTTAAATCAGCGCTTATCCGCTCCTCGGGTGAGCAGAAAAGGTACAGTTTATACCGTTAGAGCATTAGAGCTAAGTACGCAGGATGGTATAAAGCAACGACAAGTACTTAATCGCCTAATCGATGTAAGCCACCTATATATATACCGAGAGAGGAAAAGAAGACGCGCTCATCTGCATCGGCTTAATTGTAACTACTTGTAACAGCAACAACGACAACAATAACAAAGGTATAACCAAAGGGATGAGGACAATGACTGTACATAATAATAGTAATAATAATAATAATAATAATAATAATAATAATAATAATAATAATAATAATAATAATAATAATAATGATGATGATGATGATAGAGATGATGATGATAATGACGATAATAATGATGATGGTAGTAATGATGACGATGATGATGATGATGATTGATTATGATGATGATAATGACGATAATAATGATAACGATGACGATGATAAAGATAATGATGATAAACAATGATGATGATGATGATGATAATAATGATGATGATGATGATAATGATTATGATAATAATGATAATAATAATGATAATAATAATAATGATTATAATGACAATGNCAAATACAAGGGTCAAAGTACCGGTCGGTGGGACACAATAAATGTCACGCAGGGATGACAATAAATACCGATTACTTACATTTTCGAATCGTACGAAACAATAATAAAAGTATACGTACGTCTGGTATGCATGACCTCGAGTTAGGCATAGATTTAGGAATGAAACGACCTCAAATGTGTTTCTTTACAGTCGCACTCATACTTATAATACCGAACGATTAAACGCACATTTCACTTTGCTATCGTCACAATTATATTTATTTACATAAGTAAAAAATCAAGCCCTTTGCCTTCCAAGCATTCGTATCTTTATATAAATAGTGCAATATTTTATCTAAAAATGTTCGAAAAAAATTTAAATCTAAAATTTTATGCCGTTACTGGTACTCCCGTCTTATTTTTTTGTGTACGTATAGCGATTGGAGTCTAGAGTGTACTTACCTACCTCCACCGTGTGGCGGGCAGTTTTTATCGATTATAAAATTGCCAGTCTTTACAGCACCGCGCGAGGAATACAAATGCATTTGGTCCGTATATACATTACGCTCGGGGGGTTTTTTTTTTTCTTCCCAACGCTACACTCACACTTTAGTTGTTACCACGTTCTGAGTGAAGCGCGCGTTAGTGAGGAAAATATATCGATTTCCATGAAAAATTGATATAGATGTTATAGGTATACCGTGGCTTTTCATTCAATCTTGTTGTGTTTTTTTTTTTTGAAGGAGTACGTAGAGTTTAATTTATTATCGAGTGGATCAATTGAAATGCGAGGAAGAAGTTGTCTGCGCGAGTCTTGCTCCCTGAATTTCTGATTCGATCGCCGTGACTACCTAAGTATACGAAATCAAAAAGCGAAACACTCGACTCGTCGGAAATAATGTTAATGATATGGTACACGTTCGATTAACATTATTTATAAGTAATACAGACGCAGGGTTTGATAAATCAATCATCCGGATCAGTACGAATGTTAATTTTCACGCTATCAATGTGAAATCAAACAACAAGCCGGCGTGGTCTCCCCCTCCTCCTCCACCTCGTCACGAGACTTTTGCGCAACTCAACAACATACATTACAATATCTGCTATACGAATACACGCATCCCTCTGTTTTCCAGAAGCTGTTCCCCCCATGCGCGCAAATCGCAGGAGCACGTGCCTCTCTTGTGTGTCCCTCTATACAATAATAATAATAATAATAATAATAATAATAATAATAATAATAATAATAATGATGATGATGATGATGATGAGGAAACACGCGTGGTAAGCGTATATGAATATAATCGTGTTCTTACCCGAGTTGACCGGGGCGGAACTGAGCTGGGCCCCTTGGCGTTGGTGCACCGCGTTGCCCGAGCGCAAAACTTCCTCGTTGCTCATCAAGTCGCGGGACTTTGGCTTCACCGTCAGGTACAGAGCAGCGCTCGTCTGTCCGGCTGTGAATTGGGCCAAGTTATAGATAGATCATCCCCATGTTGTACATTTTCTTTTTTTTATTATTATTTTACTTTCACAAATGTTTAACAATTCACGATTGAACAGTGATTTTGCGAAGGATTATTTAGTTGAGAAGAGCGTCCCGTGAAGTAAATACTCGACGATGTACATACTATACACCAATAGAAAGAGATGCTTCGTACGTTTTTCGTAAATTAATCATACAATGGACCGCAAAACTTGATGGCTCAAAAAGCGCTGAGCTCACGAGAATTACGGAAACGCGACCGCAAAACGTGTAAATAAATAAAAAAAGCCCCTAGGGCGAAAAGCATCAAAAACACATACACACAGTGACGAAGCGAATGTGTCGTGGAAGGTGACCCATTTTCTCCGCGTCCGACAATGACCGGCTTTTCCCGTCCACGCTTGGCAACGTTTATCGTAAACAGTTGAAAAGGGGGGAAAAAAACAGTGCAACTTACCCCAGCAGGAGTATATGCCGCTGTCGGCCATGCCTATGTCCACGATTTTTAGAGCTCCCTTTTTGTTGATTTTGTGCTTCCGCGATTTGCGTAGCTCCTCGTGGTCCTTGCGCCAAACGATGTGAGCTCTGCGTGAAAGAGGAAAAAGAAAACGCTTGCGTTAAACCAGCAGTACACAAACCTGTGTGTATGTTTGACCGCCTCGCTCCGGGAGTCAATATGTTGCCGGTCAAACGAGCGTGAATTTTTTTTTGCCATTTTCCCTTTCAAATTAAAGTGGTTTTGGTACTGTGGAACTTCAACCACGTGGTTAACGTGAAACCGATGGAAAAACGCCAAGTGTAAGATAAAAAGAAGCCAGCCTCACTTGTCGAATTTCTTGACGGGGCAGCGTATCTTGATGATGGGCGTGCCTTGAAAAATCGTCGCCCGGCCGCCAATGTCGAGATTGACCTTTTTGTTTGGATCGTCCTGGACGTAGGTCGCGTTTTTGGTGACAATGACCGGTTGGGCCCCGGGCGCGAGTTGCTCGCAGGCCCGGCTGTTGCACTCCTTCTCGGCGCGGGGCTTGGATGCGGAACACACGCCGTCCGTGTGGGCGATCTTGCGGCCCTGGGCCATTGTCTGCTCGCACACAACTTTGCGCCGCTTGACCCCACCGCCACACGTTTTCGAGCACTACGAACATTCGCACCCCCGTATTACCCTCCGTTTTTGGAGTTTTACACATTTATTCCTTTTTTTTTTTTTTTTTTTTTTTTTTTTTTTTTTTTTTTTTTTTTTTTTTTTCTTGAGTTTGCAATCAATTGAAAATAAGAACTCACCTTGCCCCATTCACCGGCTTGCCACTCGGGCGGGCAGTCGAAGACGTTGCAGTACTGTCGGTCGACCGGGGGTGGCTGGGGGCACATCTGACTGGGCACCGTGACCGTGTTGCCGGGGCCCCGCGTCACCTCGTGCAAGCACGTCACCTCGCGCGTCTGGATCCCAAGGCCGCACGGACTCGAGCAGTCGCTGAACTCGCTCGTGTTCCATCTGCATGGGTATAGGCAAAACAATTAAATTGTGTTTCGTAATGATGCATTTTATATATTGTGTTTTTTATTATTCTGTAATTTCAATTGATGCCGTAAAAATATTTCTTTTTGCTGTATTTTTGAAATAATAATAATAATCATTACCTCGGAGGACAGGGGTGGTCGTTGCATATTCTCGTCCTCAGTTCTGGCTTCGTTTCGGCCGTGCACAGCAGAGGCATCACCGCCTTCTTCGTGTCATCTCGGACGCAAGTTATTATCAGTTCCTGAACACCTGTATTTTTTATTCAATCAAGGAAAAAAAATCGTAGAAATCAAATTAATTCTTTGGAAAAACAAAAGACAATTCATAGACAGTTGACCCAAGAGATTTTGGTCTTAAAAAATGTTGGCAAAAGAAAAGAAAAAAAACCCGTCACACTCACCGCCCAAGCAAGTGGCACTGCAGTCGGTGTACCCGGCCTCCTGCCACGAGTAGGTGGTCTTGACGGAGCTACCGGAGGCAACCTTGACGTTGCCCTCGTAGCCCCCACCCGAGCCACCGCCACCCGTGTAGCTACTGACCGCGGATGCCAGGGCCGAGGAGGATGACCTGAAGCCGTCGCTGGATTCGGCGTAGCTGCTGTCGCCCACTGGGTCGATTCTGTAGGCCAAGCTGTTCTCCAGAAGGTGGCACGGCTCCAGAGCGCACTTCTCCTCCTGGGGCGGTTTGGGCCCCGTGCACTGGTGGTCCGGCAGCTTGGCTATCGTGCGGCTGAACTCGAGGTAGATCTTGCAGTGGACCTGCCGGTGACGGACGCCCTCGCCGCAGCTCGCGCTGCACGCCGACCACTCGTCCGCCACGAATCTACGGAGTCAGGGGTGTGTTGGTACATTTGTTCGTATAAACCACTGTTTTTTTCTTTATTTTTTTTTCGTTCCAAGCCTACAAGGTAAAAAAACTATTCCATGCCCCCTCAATCGTGTCTATGTACACAGAAATGATGGAAAAAAAGGCAAAACCCTGGAAGCATTAGCAGCATCACTCGGTAATACAAGTACACGCGTTAACGAGAGCCCAAAAGATACACCGATTTCGATCTACATACTCGTCCAACCGACGGGCTTTTTTAAATTACCAACGCGCATCCCTTGGCTCGTGTGGCCAAAATACATCAAATTAGCGTCCGGGGGTGTATATACTTGCCAGCCTCCCTCTTTCCTCTCCACTTTAAATTTCTCGAGCAGAAACTTCCGAGAGCTTCTAGCCCGTAACAACGAAACCGATCTAGTTTCGACCTCTCTCGTCGAAACTTATTTTCCCGCCCCCCACCCGCGTAAAAAAAAGTTTTTTTGTTCATGTTCAGAAAAAGTTTTTTTTTAATTCTTTCTTGAGACAGAGCGAAACTTGGTCAGAACTTTAAACGCAAGTTTTAGAAAAGTTTCTCCAAACTTGTTCGAAGGAGTTGAAAAAAAAAAAAAATTTCAAGCAACACGATAGGGAGAATTTAATAATTTGAGATGATTATCGCTTACGTTTTTGTTCTTTTTATGAGCTGCTTGTACGTAACGAATGTTTGTTGCTATTATTAGCATAAGGCACATAAGAATACGCGCAGTGAAATTCGTTGAATAGGGTATATGTAATTTACAATTCTTAAAGTTAAAATTCACATTTTGCACAATAATTATTGTATACTGTATTAATGAAATATATCACATGCAATAAATATATTGTTTATTTCATAAGTTTGAGTATAAACTTTGAATAAACTTATAAAAAATTTGTTTAACTTTTTTTTACATACATTTACTTATAATTTAGACAAAGTTAATTGACGAAAAGCCAAAAAGAATTTATTAAATTTAGAAAAAAACTTTTTACAAAGCTCAGAGAAACTTTTTTTAAACTTGCGTTTAAAGTTCTGACCAAGTTTCGCTCTGTCTCAAGAAAAAACTTTTAAAAAACTTTATCTGAACAAGAACAAAAAACTTTTTTTAAAGTTTTTTAAACTTGATTTTTTTTACGCGGGCACCCCCCCTCTTTGTCTTGTTCTCCACCCACTTTCGTGCGTTACCTTCACCTTTTATTTCTCCCTCTTTCTGACACACACACACACACACCCGTATATCCTTCTATTTAATTTTTCGTTCGCCCCCCCCCCCCACAGCACGTCCTTCTCGTCGTTTTAATTTGCCCGGTATACCCACACTGCGTCTCTTACACCATACTTTTCTCCAAGGGAGCTTTGCACGTTCTCGTGCACACGTGCTCAAAGAGAGAGAGAGAGAGAGCCGCAACTTGCAATTGAATTAGAACCCAAGCTGAGACAATTGTTTCCAATTGATTCGCGGTACGTTACATACGCGGATTTATTTTCGATTCGCATCGAGAGACGTATAGTCCGATATACGTCAATGAGATATGATGCAGAATGATCGACGTGCAGACATGTACCTATATAGTCCGTTAGTTGTCATAATCAACAATTTTGCAAACAAATTGAAAGGGGGGTGGTTCAAAAGCTCTTGTTTGCCGCAAGTAAGTAGTCACATCCTGATATGGTCAGACGGCAGTTTATTTGCGTGAAAAAAAAAAAAATTGTATTTGTGGTCGGTTCGCTCTACGTTTCTTTTACAGTGGTTTGATATCTTGGCTTTGTTTCATCAATTGGCCTTTTGTACGCCCACGCAATAATGTACGTTAAAAAAAAAAGTCAAAAGCTCTACAACAGCCCTTGCAACCCCAACTGCCCCTCCACCCATGCGATATCTATGTGCGTTTACACGGGTACTAAGGATGCATCAGACGGTACAAGGTGCTTGCCATTGGATACGTGTAACATGGGAATTCCAAAAGCTCCTTTGGTTTTGCATGTAAGGCTCTACATGTATCCGTCTTATCCTAGACAATATACACCGCGGTGAGCACTATTGGATCGTGGGTCTTATTGTTGGCATACTGATTGCAGTCAGGCAGGCGCACTCGCAATCCCTTGGCTGCTCCGATTCGCTGATTATGGATATCATAGCTGTGTCTCCATGCACAGATTTCTTGGGATTAATTGTTGCGCGATCCATTCGATCAAGGGGGCGGGGGGATTAGTAAAGTGTACCGGATAATTGTGAGAAAATATACTTATACACTGTTAGTTTACGAGGCGGACAGCCCGGTGTTATCTGAGGTAAAATACACGTAAACGTAAAGAAGAAGTTGTTGATCGGCAAGTGGGCTCCTTTCGATCTCTTCTTCATCCCTTTCCTTTTTATTATCAGTGAGCACGCGACGTCGCTTTTTTTTTGTTTTCGTTATTCAATAGCCATTTTCTGGAAAATATATATACCGATACACGTGTAGTTGCAGGATAGTTTGCGGTAGCAACAAATAAACAGACCAGCTGCACGGCACGTGAATGCGAAATTTCATCGAGGGCTGCATGAACGTCATATGTATATGTATATACGTATACTCACGTTGATTGCGAGGGCACCGGCTGGTCTATCAGCTTCTCCGGCACCGGGGCTAGAGGATACGCCTGCATCATTTCGTCGGCGTCTGCAAAATAATGTCATTTTTGTTTCTTTTTTTCCCTCTTTCTTCCTCCATCGAGTTTCTCGTGAAAATGCTTCACTATAATCATGTTATTGGCAGCAGACTCGGGCACAGTTCATGGATTTTTGACAATTATTTTGTTCCGAATTAAGTACTTACTTTTTACCGTAATCTATACGCTTTTTTCTTACTCTTTATGCTTCTTAATTATTGTTAAGCACCCGAAAAAAAAAGCTTTTTTTTTCGTTCATCACAAACAATGCATGACTCTTTTGTCAAAAAAATGATATTGCAAAGCAAGATATACTCGAGCCTGGGTACATTGTACATAATATGCGTAAAAAAGAAGCAGAGACTCACAGGTGGAACAGTCGGCGTTTGCCGGGGCGCGGCACTCCTGCTGGCTCTTGGGACGCTGGGCTGGGTCGCAGTCCGAGGAGACGCGCCCGTTGCCATCGCGGCATTCGACCTTGCGGGTCCTCGTGCCAGTACCACCGCAGCTCGCCGAGCACTACACCCAAGGACCAATTGTTACCATTACTCGCGGGTTCTCCATTTATTACCATGTATGCTCCTGTACTCGAGTTTCCCCAGTTTTTTCCTTAAAGTCACGGTAGATCGCCGCGAATGTATATACTTTGAAAGCTCATCCCGAGTCGGCTAGATGAGTAAACAGGAGGGGGGGGAAAGAAAATTTGCGTACAAACTTTTTGTGAGACAAAAACTGAAAGGCGAGGAGAGCTCGGAGAAAAAAAGAAGATGAGTCCGAAACTAACGACTCGTTAGCCGCGTTTTCCAAAGGATCTTCCCGTTAAGCGCGGAGTTTTTCGTTTGGGCATACTTTGAGATCGGCTGGGAAAAGTTCCCCTTGGCCGTGTTAATGTAACGTTTGTCGTGTTTTCACGCGCGTGAACTTTCCGTCACTCGAGATGGAAGGACTCCCTGGCTGGCAGGGTGAAACCGTAGAGGGAGAAAACTTGAGCCACGTGCTATACCTACTCCGTTGGGTAACCGAGTCGAGACTGGAAAATCGAAATCGCAAGTACTGATTTCTGCGTGTATGTGGCGGTGTTACCTTTTTTTCTCTGGAAACATAATGTAACTTTTCGTGTCGTGTTGGAAAAAAAAAAAAAAAAACATTTCCACGCACAAGGTTGTTTCCAACGCGTTGGCTCCGTAATTAAATTTTCGAGCATATGTGCCACTCTCGAAGAACTTACAATACAGGATGGGCCGTGCTTCTGAATTTTCCAGCAGCTATGAACAATTTACACGGATCAGCGAATCAAAAATAAGTATAGCTCGCTGTCACTGAAATATGTAACTGCGGGTCGCTTTTGAATAACCAAATGGCCGATCTCAATCTATACATAGCTCCTTGCTTTGCTGTGCCACCCGTCTTTTTTTGACGATCGCACAGGTAAAGCTGTTTATTGACAGATCCGATAAAACTTTCTGGTTAATTCACAGAGTCTCGAATGAGGGAAACTATATTTAAAACATGCATTCGAACACACGGTAATTTGTGTAACATGTAAATTTTATCCAGCGTTGGGTTAAAATGTATCGCGGAGTATCGATTTGTCCAACTTCCCCCGAGGGTTTGTCTGCTCTTTGTATCGTTTTACATTTAGCTCAAGAACCAATTGGTTTTTTCTTCATGTTTGATGTACAATATCCGAAAGATGTGCAAGAATAGCAAAGCTCGTGTATAGGTACATCGTTGCACTCGAGATCGAAGGCTAGTAGATAAAAGAATACAATACCAACGTAAAAAGGGAGCGCGTATGTGTAGCGCGTATGGAGTGGCTTCGAGTGGCTTTCCGAGGAGAGGAAAAGGAAGGATGGGTCGCCGAGTCCATCAATTCCCGTCCCTCGCGAGCCCGTACAGCCTTTCGATCTAGTACATGTGTATATACCCACCCTCCCCCCAACAGCGATGAAAATTATTAAGCTGTTTTTCACATGTACTCTATCTTCCGGACGTAGCTTCCCTTTCATAAGAGTGAGTCACGTGATGACCATTGTGCCCCTCCGTGTGCCGATGACTTTGCGCAAACTCGTACCGCGAGTGATTCATCGAAACGAGCTAATTTACCTTGTTTTTTTTGCACGATATGTAAATGTATAAAACAGTACTTGGTTATTTTCAGATAAAGAGATAGAGAGAGTTCAGCCCGTGCTTGAGGAATTTATCGGAGTTGTCAAATTGTTGCGCCAGTAGGGGGGCACGTGCGTAACGGGGGAAGGGGGCGTATCTTCATGAATAAAGCAGTGGCCATAAGCGGTGATTTTGCATTTTTTTTATTTTATTTTTTTTTTATTTCGCTCAGTTGTACCCACTGTCGTGGAACTTTGCCGTCGAACTCTCGGATGTATCCCTCCTCCGCCGTGTTTATTGCGAAAAAAGTTTGATAGTCAAAGTCTTGCCGGTGCATGGCCCCTTCCCTCCCCCCTGACATCCAGCGCCACTGAGATTTTAATCCCCCCGTGCTCGTATTCATCCACACGCTTTTGCGGCCCACGATACTCCTTAATCCTCGTTCGCAAACTTTGCTTCTTTGCATGAACTAGCTTTTTTTTATTTTAGGAGAACTGTGTGACGGAAATGGAGTCTCGAGTGGATGTGTTTTTTCATTTGGGTCAGATTGAAAATTTGGTGATTTCAGAAGGGTGTACAAATCATCGTTTCAGCTCGTGGAAATACGTTTCTTCAATTGTTTCAACAATCACCCCCTCTGTAGCTTTACTAACGACCCAAAACTAAACATAAAGTAGTGGTTGAAATAAAAAAAAAATAAATAAATAAAAAAAAATAAAATAAACCACAAGTATCAAAGTTATTTCGTTCCTTACAGTCTCGAAGCCATGATCCGTACGTCCCGGAGTCTCGAGAATCGGAGTAAAAAACAGAAAAAAAGGTAAATCGCGAGCTCGGGGCTTACTTCGGTTAAACGAGCGCGTAAAAGTAGAGAGTTCACGCGGGCGTTTTGCGTGCCTTGAATTTTTAAACGCGCGTGTTTTTTTCCCCCGTACTCGAGAGCAAAGACACTTGGTGATTTTTTTTTCTTTTCTTTTCACTGCTCACGAAATAAAATTCAAGGAGAAATCGCCTCTTACCTCACTCCACTCGCCCGGCTCCCACATTGGGCACGAGAACGCGTTGCAGATCTCCTGGTACTTGGGCTTACGGCTGGCGTTGCACTTGTAGTCCGGAAGCTGTAACGTGACAATTTTCTGCCTAAGCAGTGCTTTTTGGTTTTTCAACTGCGTCGAGCTCCCTCGAGTGTTGCACACGCGTGGTATCAACATGCCTCGGCCGAAAGTTCGAGGGCTCCTTAAATCAAAGTTTCCCTCATCTCCTCCCCCCCCCTGTGACGCTGATTTATACACGCGGCGTCTGCGAGTCATCGCGGAAGTTTGCCATTTCTCTCTCGCTTGATCGAAACGACTGATTAATAGTAGCCTTTTTCTTAAATGCATATTTTTTGTATGCAATCTCGAGTAAGATCTTTTAAACGCGAAATTTTACGTGAGATTGTCCTTATTGCGATGAAAACAAGTCGCGTTTGAGTGACAACTAGTGCTCCATTCGGTCATTTTACCCTCATCCCTCGTGCTAAAAACTCACGATCGCTTCACACATTTATATAGAAATGCAGAACTCTTCTCTAATTGAAGACGCTCCCACCCCGAAGTTTCCATAACCCTCGAACTTTCCTCGCCAAAAAAAAAGTACATTTATTCGTTGACGAATGTTGTACAACTACTTTATTCATCATTCATGATTCATTATGATCATTGAAAAAAAGGTTTTAGGTATATATTGAACAAAAAAAAATTTGGTTTACCTTACTGGTGGCGTTGCCGTTCTCCTCGATGCAGAAAACCGGCCGACTCCTCGAGCCTCCGCCGCACGGGACGCTGCATATGCTCCACTCGCCGCTGAGCCATCTGAAATCACCGTCAGCCCGACAAATTAGGGACGCGATGATTAAAACCCGCCCTCTCTGCCACACGTATGCGTCTACATATACCTTTTTCTTTTTAATCACAGTTTGAAAAGCAAGAGCATCATCTTCGCGGCGAAATTAATTTCCCGAGTCTACTCTAAATCCCGAGACGATGGTAAAACCATCTGTACGATGTAGGCCAGTCGAGAAAAACTCCGATGGCTAATCGTTGTCGTTTTACAAACTATGCCTCCGCGGAATTATCGTCCCAAGGGACTCGACTCGCCTGATAAACATTATCACCCACGCGACCGCACTACGGGTCATTAGGAAGGAAATAACGAGGACACCTGCGAATTTCCAGTTTATCCTTGCGAGAAAAAATCCACCCTCACCAAGTGTATATGTATATACACGGTGTACAACTATTTGCCAACGATAGCGATTTCGACACTTTAATCCTGGTTTTTTCCACCTAGAGTCACGCTGATTTGACAATAAGTAAAAAAAAGGCTTGCAGGTTCACGCGATCAAGAAAATTTCCGTCTCAACGAGCACGTGCGGATTAAATGAAAAATCAGATCGAGAGGGCGAAATATGTCCACCGAGGGGATTCCCAAAGGCGAGCGTTATTGCGGCTGACAGTTCCAATTATACGGCACTCGTGTGGCAATTCCAATTGTATATACGGCACTTGCCGTCTACCAACGAGTGACGCTATGCGCTCGAGTTGTCGTGTTTATTTGCAATGAAAACCATTGAGCACTTGTATAATATATAATATGGCACTTGGAGAGATAATAACCTTTGGCACCTACATGAACGTCGATCTGTGGAAAAATACAGTCAAACAATCGAACTCAAAAAGCTGGGCTCCTGCATACACATGTACACTTGGACAAGTCTTTTTTCACCAACCCTCTCGCGTTTGTCCCGTTATTCAATCGTACAGGCGTGTTACGTTAAATTTTTACTTTCCTACACTCCCCCGATGAAAAGTCCACTTGGAAACACCACGCAATTGTGCTCCGCTGAATGAAAAAGAGAAAGAGAACGTCTCCCATCCATCTCTTACACGAGTAAAACAATCCACCGAAACGCCATCCCCTATACTGCAAAGGCTCTGTAGCTTACGCCCCGCAGAGAGACACGTGGAGCAGGGGTGGTGGGGAAAGAAAAAAATCTCAATAACCCAAACAGAGCTTGATTACAACATTGAATTGTTTTTTTTTAAATCTCTTTCCAGCACCCGTAGACCGTAATAAAGAGCCAAGTTCGCCTCTCGATCAATCAGCCATGTATGCTCCTTCGGCCTCGCTTGTCCAGCGTCAAATTTCACGTACGCGTAATGTACCCCACACGGCTTGCTGTCATACATCGCCTAGCGAACGCAAGAGAAAAAAGGGAAGGACGAGTAGCTGGAGTACACCCTCCCTTCTCTTCTTTATTCCCTCTAGTCGCCTTTCTGCTCGTCCCTCCTTGCTACAACGGGGTGCACGTGTAGGTTTTTGTCCTTCTCTACTCTCCCATTCTTCCCGCACGGTCTTGTATACAAGCGGCCCGAGAGACTCTCTCGGGCGCGTGACGCAGGAGAAAAAAAAAAAAAGAAGAGAAAAGGTCGAGAGTCGGCGCTCTGAAAGCGATCCAAGTGGTCTATGTGCGTGTACGGGACACGAGGAAGTACGCGTACGGAGGGAGAGATAAAGCGAGCACTCGAGATTCAAAGCGAATAATGGCTTTTCATCCGTTGACGCGAGACGCCCGCCGTCACGTACCTATGGACTTTTTTTGTTTTTTTTTTTTGTTTCTCATTCTTTTTGGCGCACTTGGGCTAATTGAAACGCACGCGCCCCACGGATCACGAGGGTTTCGTGTAAAAGGGCCCTTCTTCATCCTTGGGCCATTGGCTCCTTCTTTTTGGGCAAGGGAGAACTTGCCAAAGCATCCCCCAAAAAGACAAAAATAAACACCCCCGAGCATAGACGGCCGAGAGACGTCAAGTGGCTCCCTTGGCGACGACGCGTCAACCGCGCCTCCTTTGAAAACCCGACCGCGACACGTTGTAGCTGTATCGAAAAGTCACCTCGTCGCAGCCTCGGCTCATTAGTCGAGTTGAGCTCCAAGCAGGTGCAAAGCGCGAGAGTCGGACAGAGTACGGCACGTATATACTTAGTTTGGAAAATGCGCCTCCCGGGACGCACGATCTTCGAGGGGCTCTGCGGCAGCTCGACCGAATTAAACTAAACTCGCGGCTTCAGAGCAATTAGAGCCATTTGACGGGGCGTCGAGCATCGGCAACTTATGATTATGCGCGCGTACGCGCACACCTGATTTATCAACTACGTGGCGCAGTACTCCTTCCCACCCTTTGCGTCTCCTATAGGTCCGGCCCAACTGCAGTGCGCGTAATTATATCGTATCCCGGCTGCTGTCGCCTGAGAATTCACGCGCATACATATACATCGGGACAATTGGACCGAGACTGCGTGCACCCGGGTGTCGTTTGGTGTGTATAATCTTCTCTCCCTCCCCAATACACCCCGCCACTGTTAGTTGTTGCTCCTGGTGCTGGTTATTATTAGCAAGCGCGCGTGATGTGCAGCGCGTGTACGTGATTTCCGACTCGATACGTGAGTCTAATTAGCTCCGTTTGCGGGGGGGGGGTGCATCGTTCGCGTGTATATCCGTTGCGTGCGAAGCAAACTTGCTCCCAACAATGAGGCGAAGCTACGTCCAAGCTTGGTTTTTTAGAGGAAAAAGTCGTACACCCCCCTTATTCCTTCGTTACATATGCAAAAGTATTTTTATCGCGTGTTCCAAAAAAAAAAAAAAAAAAAAAAATAGATTTACAGGTCATGGTCCTTCACCGATGAATGAAGAAAACGACCATAAACCGCGTGTACACACAGAGAAGAGCCGAAATGGAAAATGTAAAAAAAAATTTTTTTTAAACTGTATAATTGCGAGAGTCGAGACGAAAACGAGCTCTTCCCTCACCCATGCATGGGTACATACCACTCGTGCGCCCATCAAGCTAAATTGGGCCATATATGTATTTCGGGGGCGATAACGTCAACGTGTATATAGGCAAACTTACTTTGTCGGGCATGGATGGGAGTTGCAGGGCAGTAGCATCTCGTCTGGCTTCGACTTGGTGTCGCACTTGCTGCTGTCCACGACCGTCTCCTCGGGCCCGGTCGTCTTGCACACCGAGGTCGCCGTCTTGAATCCTGTCGTCCAACACACGATTAAATTAATGTCGCAACAACAGCAATGACAAATCGAGTATATATACAAATGTACAAATACGCACCGCCTCCGCAGGATTCCGAGCAGGCGGAGGTGGACTCCAGGGTCCAGGCGTACTTGACGTTGCAGGTCGAGCTGTCGCCTCCGCAGACGCCGCACACGTCCCGGCTCTTGCTGCCCCCGACCCTCAAGTCGCAGCCAACCCCCTTAAACAGGCGTCCAACCCCCTCCGTGTTAATCACCACGCGCACCACATTTTCATGCACCTGCCATTCATTCTGAACTAAGGGGGGGATGGGAGATTATTAAAAATTCGCGTCACCTCGGGTGCAGGGGCCGACTCCCCCAGACGAGGGCACACCGGGAATTCGTAGAAGCGGCAGTTCTTTACCCCTCACATATATCGGTTCTTCGGCTCCACGGAATCACACGCTCGGCGAAGGGGTCCCATGCAGGCACTCCTGATTTGTCATTCAGGGCCACGCTCGGGCTCCCACCTACATTATTCATCCCTTATCCGCGCCACGGCGGCGCCGGTGGAAGAAGCCCTCCGCGAGATCCGATATTGCATAACCACGCTGTATATATATATATATACACGTGTGTGGATTACGCGGTGATGGGAAAGGGTAAAGGGTAAGATACGATATTTTGCGGTGTATAACAGGCAGTCTCGGGTGCAGAGGATTTGTCTGCCCATTAGAGGACAAGAGAGGGCACGGGTACCTCCTTATTATACAGGCCCCTTCCACCCCCTCGTTGGGAAATTCCAGCCAGAAATCATTTCTCCGGAGGTAAGACGAGGTGTAATTGTTCTCGATTTAATTTCACCTTCGGTTTGACGCGATAAATTCACGAGGAGTTATGAGTGAGGGGTTGCGCAACGCGTTTCAAGGATTTCGGAGTAAAACAATTGGCGGCGAAAATGCAAAGTACACCAGGATCGAGGTGTAATTTATTTAAAGAAAATCATTCGTTAAATAACTGATCGATGTAACGAGGAGTCACGCAATTCCTCCAAACAGCCACTCGACGAACACGTATACCTGTGTACGTTCATTTCGAGACGCACAAGCCGTAGCTCATTTACCGTTTTGCCGCTGTTGCCGCTAACCGAGACGCCTCAGCTCGTTACCGACTTGTTCCGCGTTACTCGGAACTTGCGCGTTACTTTCTTCGCGCGCCCTCTTGTACCTCCTACTACACGCATAACTACACACACACATATATATATAAATATGTATATATACACACGTAAAGGCACAACAGTTGAAAACGTCGAAACGCGAAATTGATCAAGTGGTAATTGCGACCGTACAACAACTACTACCGCCAACTGTGCAGCACGTAATATGCACAAACTTTGCCGGGCTAAGTTTGCTCCCTTCCGCGTTGTATTTTACGTAAGTTCGACCTGTCTGCATTGGGGGTTTCATCGCGAAATTCGTGATTTAGTAAGGTTTTGGGTGCATTGCCGATTTTTCGGCACTATATACTTGCGTTTGTTGTTATAATACGAATAACACATTTTTTATCCTTCGATATTTACCAAATGCAATATATATATATACCCACCATGCACTTGCCGTTGATACAAACATCCTGGGCATCGGGGAAGCAGCGCGTGCCGTCCTGAACCTTTTCGGCCAACTGCACAACGATCGATTCGTCCGAATCGTACTCCTCATCCTTCGCGACGCGCTGGCCCTTGTTGTTGCCCGCGACTGCCAGGTTCGCCCCGTTGTTGTTATCGTTTCCGTTGGCAATGCCGAGCTGCTCCCCGCGGCAGATCAGGGCACAAGGACGAGACGGGTCGTAGTAGGGGTACCACATGAGCAGCTGGTCGCTGTACGGTACGCTGTTGAAGGCTGAGCACTGCTCCGAGCGCGGGTCGGCTCCGTTGGCGCACGGCTGAAAGACAGAGATGGGCCGATTAGGGGTGTTTTTTTTTTTTCTCTCGTTTGTGTTTCGTACGGTGTTTGGTGTACTTTGAGCCCCCATGTATAGTCAAGCGAGATATGGTGATTGTTAATCATAAAGCGGTATTTTCGCGTGATTCGGGGTATCGTGATCTGTGCTTGAAATAACATGTTTGAAAGATCATCGATACTGAAAGTTAAGCACAAAGAAGCGTCAACGCGAGCCCAATGAATGTAATCCATTGTAACGTATTCCTGTAACGACTAACAATTCGCAGAACAAAGTTTCATTTCATTAAAAATGGCATTGCCTTTGAAACGCATATTAATTAATTAGTACTTTGATCATTTGTACATTGAAAAATAAATAATCCTTTTGCTACAAATTCCCGAAACTGCAGTCGAAAATTCGCAGAACAAAAATGTATATTCCATTAAAAATGATATCCCTCTGCAGGGTGCATTAAAATAATTCTCGAGTTTCGCTCTCAAAGCTGAAGCTCATATTTTCCAAATTATATGTGTAACGAGGTTTTGTTTATTAACAATTATTCGAGGGCAGCTACTATGTGCAAGTCACAGGCGTTTATTTATTTCATCAAACCATACGAGAGATAGAGAGAAACTCGCTCGCGAAATTCAACGCGTGTTTGGTCTGGCCCGGGGCAATGCACAGCACCGGACCACCCCCACAAGCAAACTGGTTCTTGTTTCCTTTGCTGTTCAGCCTGTCGAGTTTGTTTGCTCTCTCCCACACGCGACGACGCGTACAATGCGTACAAGCAGAGGTTATTCGAATAATGTCTGGGACCACTGCCACACTTACCCCCTTGGCTTATTGTTTTGTGCTCGTAGTATCATAGATTTTGATGGATCATTTCGATAGACTTTCGTTGGTTGGTCCTCGAGTCTACTTTCATATGCACCTATTGGAGCTTTCTTTTCGATAACGCTATCGACAGCTCCCTTGTTCGGAAGGATGGTAAATACCGTACACAGATTAAAGACTTTCAATAGTGTCGGTGTGAAATGTATCGTAGAGAAGAACATCAGTATTGCCTCCTTTTTTTTACCCTATCATGTAAGCACAGATGCGAAAGGGCCTCTGGGCGGTGTTTTAACGGAGTTGGGCCGCAAAAATGCGCTCTATAAATACCCCTCCGATAGTGCCGTCCTATCGGAAAGGCATGATTTCGCGTTACGGGTCTGCGTTAACTGTACACGGGAGGTCGGCCGATATTCCATTAGTGCTGCTTTTGCTTTTTGCACTTTGGCTCCACTCTACCCAGAGGTGTTTTTTTAGGATTTATTTTAAGGGTGTGGCTTAAAGAAGGGATTGTAAATAGCACAGGTACGTCGAGGCATAAGATTCTGATAAAAGAGCGACGGCATAATCAAGTACATCTCGCAAATAAAACCGAGTTGTGGCTGCTTGGCCATAATAATGATTGGCTTGCTTCGTTTGAACGGTGGATTTAATAATTCGATCGATTAATCAGTTTGAAACGCCATAAAACCGAGGCAAGGGGTTCCTCCTGTAAGATTGAGATTACTGATTGTACGCAGAGTTTAATTAATTATCGTGGTACACTGATTCATCTCTTTCGGATTCTTTAGCTGATTCGGGGTATTAATCACAATGATGAATCGATAACAATAGCATGAATAATTGGTACCAGCATTTCATTACAAAACAACATGAATGATAATTTCATCAATTTAGTGGTGGAGAAACTCGTTGGATGAACGTTGTACCAGCAAGATTTCAGTAAACTCGTGAAACATTCACCGCAGTAATCATGCAAAGTAACTACCAACTGCACCTTAGATTACATTAAAGGAGTTTACACGTAACAGAGCTGTAGCGCATGCAGCCCATCGTATTTGCATTTTACCAACATACTAATATTTAAGACGTAAGGCATACTCTCAAAGGAGTCACGTATTAAATTTTATGTAATCAATAAGTACAGTAGAGTAAAGTGATAATTTAACAGCGGTAAGGCCACAACAATCATGTGGCTGACCAAACTCGGTGTTTACTACTTAAGAAGTAAAATGACTTAGGTTCTCACGAGATTAAATAAAAATTAGTTTTGAAGATTTTCTTTGAAGTAGAGTTTCAAATACGTAATTAACAACACGGTTTAAAAGAAACATTTTAAGCACCTGTTACTTGATTTTAAGGTTTCTTTAGTCGTTGACGAATTAGTCCACGTTTCTTTTTAAATATTTCTTTGAATAAGCGGCCATATACGGTGATTCGAATTAAATTTTAAGTCACTAGTAATTAAGTATCTGATTTGGAACATAAAAATCTCAAAACAACCCAATGGCTGACAAAACTTGACTTTTACTACTTAAAATAGGAAAAATTTTATTTATTATTATAACAAAAATAAATATCAAACTTTTTTTTTTATCAACAGTAGTCTTTTTAGTAAACGGTTTTAAGCAGTGGTTAAAAGAAAAATTTTAAAAGAGCCTACTCGATTTTTAGGACTTGCAGAATAATAGTTTTTCGATAATTACTTGATTAGATAGCAAATAGTTGCAAATATTTTTCTTTAACGTAGCACATTTAATAGACAACTATAAATAGTAATATTAGAAAAAGCCACAATTATATGATTGCATTGAACTTTCACACGCAATAATCTTGAATCAAATGAATGTCTGACCAAATTCAAACTTTACTACTTACACTGGATAAGAGTTTATTTTATAATCCACAAATAAATATTAAATATTTGTACATCAAAAGAGATCTTGTCAGATGATGGTTTCAAGCAGTGGCTAAGATAAAAATGGTAAAAGTATCTACTCGATCTTTAGGACTTGCAGAATAATGTATTTTCATACAAATACAGACGGTAATTTCAGAACCATTGAAAGCCACTAGTACATGAACGAAAACTCAAAAAGCTCGAACTCACCAGATGTCTAAAAAAACTCGATTTTTACTACTTTAATACAGTGGTTACAAAAAAAATGTGAAAAGTATTTCTCGATTTTAGTACTTGCAAAACAATGGTTTTCTGGTAATTACGCAATTAGACGGCAAACAGTTCTAAATATTTTTCTTTGAAGTAGTTAGTACATCAAATAGACGAACACAAAAGGTCATTTGAGAAAAATCTAGAAATACATGAGGATACATAGCTGATTCGAGTGCAATAAGAATGAATCAACCAGATGTCTGACCAAACTCGAATTTTACTACTTAAAAGGGGGTTAGGTTTCATTTAATATCACACAAATAAATATTTAATATTTTATTTAAAAGTAGTCCATTTAGCTAATAGTTTTAAGCAGTGGTTATGAGAAAAATTATAAATCAAGTACCTACTCGATTTTTAGCACTTTTGGAATAATGATATTTGATTAATACGTGAGTAGACGGCAAATAATTTAAAATATTTTTATTTTAAGTAGCTCATATAAAAGATATACACAGACAATTATTTAAGAAAAAGTTTTAAGTCTTTGAGTGTACATGGCTGATTTGAATGCAGTAAGATTGAATCAACCGAATGTCTGACCAAACTCGATTTTACTACTTAAAATGGGGAAGAGTTGATTAAATTATTACACAATAAAATATCAAACTTTCTTAGCTCAAAAAAAAAAAAAAATACTTTAGTAGACAATTTTTAGTGGTAGAAAAAAAATTGATTTGATTGTTAGTATTTGCAGTATAATAGTTTTATAGTAATTATGTGACTGAATACGAAACAGATTGATTTATTATTCTTTGAAGTAGTACAGCTAATAGACCTACACAGATAATTATTCAAGAAAAAGCCACAAGTATAATATATGTGTGAACATAGTTGAGTTTAAAGGTAATAAGCTTGAATCAACTGGATGTCTGATCAAACTTGAATCATACTACTTATAAGATTGTACAGTTGGTTTAATCATCATGCCATAAAATAAAAATTTTTTTTATAAAGTAGTCCTTCTAGCAGGTAATGTCAAGCAGTAGTTGTAGGAAAAAATTTTCTAACCCCATTTTTAGCACGCGTAGAACAGTGAGTTTTCGATAAGTACGTGATTAGATGGTAAATAGTTGGAAACATTTTTCTTTAAAACATGCAATAGATATACTTAGACAACTATTAAAGAAAAAGCTACAAGTCTTTGAGTGCACACAGCTGAATTTGAATGTAATAAGCTTTAATCAATGGGATGTCTGACAAAACTCGACTTTTACTACTTACAATAGGGAAGCGTTTATTTTATTATCACACAATAAAATATAATTTTTTTTTTAAAGTAGTTCTTTTAGTAGACAATTTCAAGCAGTAGTTGAAAGAAATATTGTGAAAGTACCAACTCCGATTTTTTAATACTTGCAAAATAAAGGGTTTTCGGTAATTATGTGATTAGATAGCAAGTAGTTTAAAATGTTTTTTTTGAAGTAGTACATCTAATAGATAATATCCATACAACTTAAGAAAAAATTTCAAGTCTATAAGGGCATATAGCTAAATTTGAATGCAACAAGCTTTAATTGATTGGATGTCTGACAAAACTCGATTTTTACTACTGAAAATGAAGAAGAGTTAATTTAATTATCACACAATAAAATAAAAAATTTTCTTTACTCAAAAAAGTCTTTTTAGTAGCCAATTTTAAGCAGTGGTAAAAAAAACTTTTACAGTACCGATTTGATTATTAGTACTTGTTGCATAATAGTTTTTGGTAATTACGTGATTCGATACAAAATAGTTGGAAATATTTTTCATTTAAGTAGTACATCCAACAGATTAACACAGACACTTGTTTGAGAAAAAGCCACGAAAAAGCAAAAATCTCGAGTCTATCTAATGTCTGACCTAACTTGACCTTTACTACTTAAATAAACGAGTTTCTTCGATTATCTTGCAACCAAACGTCAATTGATTTCGTCAATAGTAGTATTTTTAGCAGATGATTACAAACAGTAATTAAATAAAAAAATTTGAAGCCATAAACGTAAAAAAAATT